GTCTCAAGTCTCGGAGTCGACGTCCACGTCTCAAGTCTCGGAGTCGACGTCCACGTCTCAAGTCTCGGAGTCGACGTCTCAAGTCTCAAGTCTCGGAGTCGACGTCCACGTCTCAAGTGTTCCAGTCTCATAAGTCCCCACCAGTCCCAGAGTTCCCTCTGTCCCCTCAGTCTCTAGTATCCCCTTAGCCCAGAGTCTCCTCAGTGTCTTAGCCTTAGTCTAGTGTCCCCTCTTAGTCATCCTCCTCTAGTGTCCCCTGCTCTGGTTTCCTGTGGGCGTCTTGAATCCGCCCTTGGGGGGGGGGGGGGGGGGGGGGGGGTCCTGTCGTGACTCCCGTCCTACCCTGCTTCATCAGCTCACGTTTTTGTGGACTGGCACGGTAGGGGTGCATCCGTACGGGAGTCGGATCTGAAAGCATAATGTCATGGGTGATAAGATGAGTTTGAGACGGAACGTCCGAGAATAATTCGGGAAAGGAGCTGAGTAACTCCTGTAGTTCTACCTGCTGAGAAGGTGAGAGATGGTTTAAACTGTTATGCAAATTCTTAAGCGCTTCTGAATTGCAGAGCCGAGGGGTCGTAGGAGGACTCATAGCTATGGCAGGGGAAGACACGTCAGGATCCTCAGGTGGAGGTGAAACCACTGAGGTGGCGACAGTACTAATCTGAGAGGGGACTGGGTCCCGGACACGAAACTGTTTGAGTCTGTTTATGTGGCAGACTTTTGTCTTTCGGCGCATGAGAGGGGTTTTAATCACATAATTTCCTTTGTCCAACTTTGACAGGACTTCAAAGGGCCCCTCGAATTTCGGAGACAACGCAGAGTCAACAGTCGGATTCAGAAAGAGGACCTGGTCTCCTATTTGCAGGTCTCGAGAACGAGACTTCAGGTCAAAACGGGTTTTCATCGAGGCTTTTGCTGTCCTCAGATGTCGCTAAGCTAACTGGTTAGCTTCTTTGAGCCTTGTCTGAAAGGAGCTAATGTACGTGGGGAGACTAGAACCAACCGGAGGAACTGGCCAGAGAAACTTTTCTTTTAAGGCCTTCAGAGGGCCTTATATTTATTTATTTAATATCTGAAGCAGCTCCTATAGCGAGCAGAACCAGGTGTGATCACAGGCTGCTGATCAAACACGATGTCTTTAATTATTCCCCATGTTATTTGTGCAGCTGTGAGTGTCACGCTCATACACACCAGTGTTGTGTTTGACTGTCGATGCTTCTGCTTTTATTTCTGCAGCGAGCCGTAAAAACTCACCTCACACCGCCCAGTTTCTTCTTTAAAACTTGTACTAAATAACTCGAAAACTTTACTTCAGTTGTCACAGGGGAAAGTTCAGCAGCGTTTGTTTACATTTTAGCCGCTGCGCGCCTGCACAGCGTGAGAGAAGGGATGGAGGGGCGAAGCAACGCTTCGTTCAGCGTCTCTACAGGCAGTAGCAGCGACAGCCAGCTGGTTTGATCCGCTCTGAACGGCGTTGATCAGAATTTACACATCACATTTTTTAAACGGAGATCGGGCGCGTGCAGCCATCATGCGTCACTCAATACAGCGTCCATGCGGAAACTCGCCTAGGAACTTTTATCCGCTGCACTTAAATCATGCAAATAAAAATGTAATATTTAACAGAAAAAATGAACTGAAACAGTACGCAAGTGGTGCAAACCGAAATGGTTAACACCCCCACGCGAACCATTACACTCTGATAACAACATTTATGAATGGCAAAAGTTTTGCAGCTGTTTGTTACAAATCAGTAAATGCATTTTCCCCTCATGGGCTCCCGTAGAAGGAAACACGCATCTAATATGGCGTCGCCCTGAGAGTTAAACCTGCTCCCATGTATTTTAGAGACGATTTTCATGATTATATGTTAAAAGCTGCCAATTTATTTCAAAAACGGGGCATCACTCAATTCATTTTCAACAACATTTCGATGGATATTCCCACAGATTAATGGTAAAAACTACACATTTTCTCTTTAGATCAAACTAATCTGACTTTTGCTAAAAAGCTGAAAATGTTTACTGATTATTGTATTAGTCAGCTTGATTGTGTTCCACCTTTTGTGCATCACAACAGTTAAAGATTAACTCTGGAGGCTGCCAGTTTCACAACACAGTCATCTGAATGGAAGTCTTAAATATGCAGCAGCAGAATGCAGCATTTCTGGTTAATTCTGAGGTCCAATCTGACAGGAACTTATTAATATCTCCACAAAAACATTAGTGTAATGTCTTGATGTTTAACTTTTATTCAGAAACAACTGGGTTCACTACGGCTATTCTTTAGTGTGAACTATTTTGCTTCTAATTTATTGATTTTAGGACCAAACCTGCGACGCCCAAGCTGACCAGAGTGATGCTGGTTATACAAGGCACGTGCAAACGCACATAAATGTTGGGAAATTGTGAATCTAAGCAAGGAATTGGCGTGTTGTTTCAGTTCTGCAGCTTTAGATTATTTCAGAGCCAACATCTGCTCCAGCATCCTCTTTTCAGATGCTTGCCCAGAAACTGATCATGCGTCCACTGCAGAGAAACATCTGTCCATGTGAGCATGTGCATGTAAAGTTTCAGCCCAACATCTGGGACCCCTGACCATCAAACATGCAGAAATTTTCCTGCACATCAGTGATCAGGAAGAAAACATAACTATTCCATTACAGCGGAGATAAAAACACAAAGCAGGATGGTGAAACTGACAAACTGGGGAGCTTTTAGAGGGAAAAAGCAAAAAAAAGACATAAAAATCTGTTCTTTTCAGAAAGTTTTAAAGGAGACAATCTGCATTTGTTTCCTGGTTCAAGAATGAGGCCACAGCTGTGAGAAGAACCTGCATTCATCCTTCATCCAGACACTCGCTGCTCTGTGGGGAAACACATTGACCAGACTTCCTACTTTCGGCATCATGTGACTTTCTTCTCTACCATGCCTGCGCCCATGGGGAGCCTGCTCCAGAGCTTTTCCTTTACAGAAAGAACGCTCTCTTTCTTTATTTGTCTCCTAAAAGAAAGGAGGAGGACTTGTTTGCTGCTCATCAACCTTCATGGATTGACCTCTTTTGTTGAAGGGTGTCTGTTACTATGGATACACGAGGGAATCTAAGAGCTCACTTGCTCCTCTTCTCACCTGATGACGATCAAACTGTTGATGACGCGACTCACAGCGGGGGTGTTTCAGAAATCTGTGAGTTTAATAAAGGAGTGGGCAACATCTTTTATAACAGTTGGTGTCCTGATTAACTGGTGGTTGCTTCTGTTTGTTTGTTTGTTTCGATTTTTTATTGCATCTTAACTTTCCCGTTAACCAAATATCTGCTTGACACCAAATGCATGCAACTGAGTTTTCATAAAACAAGGAAGTGGCACAGTTCAATAAAAACATCTGGCTGTCAAAGAGAGCTGATGCCTGTAGCAGCCCCATGGTGTTAGAACCAGCCAGTGAGTGGTAACAGATCTGAGCTAAGCATGGAGACATAAAAGGGACTGTACAGACTTTTGAATTTTTTATGCTTGCGATTGCCCCCTCAGGCCAAAAGCGTAACGGCAGCTTCAATAGTAGACTCGTGCACGAGGCTCGCATGCTGTACGTGCACACTCCTTAACGAAAATAACAGCTGAGACAGTCCCGTGTGTGTAACCCTAACCCTAACCCTGTGTACAGAGGACAGGAGAACGCACAGCTAATTAATGAAATAATTTGGTTCTGTACCTTTCTCTTCAGCACAGCCGACAAAGGTTTATGATGGGTCAGTCTTCCTGCATGCTCAGATCATTCCCTTCCCTTGCTTGAAAAATTGTTCCAAAATGAAAGTTGAACCCACATCTTTTTTATCTGTGAATTCAATGCCGTTCGGCGAGTCTCAAATAAAAATTTGAGCATCTTACTGTAAAAAAAATATATCATTAATGTAAAAAAGAAACTCTGAATGAGCTATGTTCATATCCAGAATCAAACCCAGGTCTTCTGCATGAGAGTCCGACATCTTACAAGGTGAGCTGAAGAGCCATTGACGTCCTTTGTATCTGTAACTTTTATATCCTTGATGACAGTTGAAACAAAATTCAAAGAACGGTTCGGAGCAAAAATGGCTATTTTGTTGCTAATTTGCAGGAAATATCTAGAAGAAAGTTCTACAGAAAGTAGCTAAGGGTCCTCAGAAATGTAGCTAGCTTTGTCACTAGGCGTTAGGAACAGCGACAAAGTCGCTGAGTGGGCACTACCTCTCTCTCTGCTGCTAAAGCTACGGGTAGCAAATGCTACGGGCTATGCCTGAGCGTGAACGCGCATGAAGCAGCCTGCTCGACCCGAGCAGCTCTCTTTTTCTGTGATTTTACAGAAAAACAGGCAATCACAGTAAAAATGCCAGGGCTCGTTCTACAGGACCAGGGCATTGCAGGAGAATGTATGAAGAAGACATTTATTATTTTTATACATGTTTTGGCTGTCAAACTTCCATATTGTCCCTTTAAAGGGTTAAAAAGGCTGAAAACACACACACACAAGAAAACACAGATCTAGGATCTGCATCCCAAGCCACAGAAGAAGCTTGGTGCAAGAGACCAATTTGAATTTGTTTTACAGTATAAAGGAGGCAGCAGCATCTGTTTTGAAACAGTCCTGGCTTTATGAGTATTACATGGCTGGTGGAGGCCTCAAAAGCAGCTCAGCGGCCTAAAAGAAATCAGGAACATTGATTTCCTAAACCGGAGGTTACGTGTCAGCAGAATAAAATCACAGGGATTCTTCTACTTTGTGTCAGAGGTGAGACTTGTACCAGGCATGTGTCTGAGCACCTGCAGATCTTCACTGAGACAAAGGAGCTGCTGAGGAGGATGAAATGTTCTGCACATCAAGAAGCTTAAAGCTTGAATTTGCCCCAAAAGCAGAGTTGTTTTGAAATGCAGACTCAAATGCAGCATCTTTGTCTCCTACTACAGAAGGTTTACACGTAGCTGAACACACTGAGCCATGCTGATGGAGAAGTGCATCATCTACCTGTCTGAGGATGAAGCTTGTAGATGTGGTGCTGCCATCTGACCTCTTCAGGCGGCTGCGTCTGGAGTAAGTCCCTCTGTTACCCTGGTGACACCGAAGCACTCAGTCAGAACACAACAATATACCTGATTCTTCATGTCATGGATTCAGAAGCTCTTAGAAATGTTCCTCAGAGGTTCTGGTCCATGACCTGACATCACCACATAGTTATATCCATGATCAGACCCTCCCGTTCTACCAAATCCCAGAGGTTCTGGACTGGACTGAGATCTGGTGACTGGAGGTTGTTGGGAGTCCAGTGAACTGGTGGTCATGCTCCAGAAACCAGTCAGAGATGACATGGTGCATCATCCTGCTGGATCAGAAGATGGGTCAATGTGGTCATGAAGGGATGGACATGGTCAGCAACAATACTCAGATGGGCTGTGGTGGTTTAACCAAGCTAGGCTGGTGCTACGGTGGCCAAAGTAGGACAAGAACATCCACCCACCACCACTATTACACACCGGCAGTACCTTGAAGCACTGATACAAGGCAGGATGGATCCATGCTTTCATGTTGGTGACACCAAATGACCTGACCATCTGATTGTTGCAGCTGAAATCTAGACTCCTGTCCTCTGATAACCTGATGATGTCAAACCTTCTCACTGTTGGTTTCTGTCCAGAAAACCTTCTTTGTTGGGGCTGACCCAGTTTTTCCTACACTCCCTACAGTGTGTTCGTTTCTGATAAACTAACTGGGGGGTAACATGATAAATGTCTTCACTTCTCAGCTCTTCCAGCTCTGCGTGTGACATCCTGCCCCCCGCTAACTCTGGGAAGAGCATCTGGATGCTTGGGATATTCTGCAGCCCAGTCCAAGCTGCTCTGGGATCTCAGGTGAGGGTTTCATGACAGTGGTGATAAAAAGTTAATCACTACAGATGTTACTGCGTTTATCTGAATCCCAGCCGATGGACTAAAAAACAGTAAATTGGTTTTGGCCAATTCTTTTATTTTACTTTTTATTAATCTGGAACAAAAATAATCTACAAGAAAGTAGTCGACTGACCTGGAAAAATGATTTGGACCCCTATTCATCATGACATTGTATCAGGAAATGTTTAATAATTGAGCACCCGTTCTCATTTCTTTCTCAATGAATCAGAGCAGGACCTGCGCCTCTCTGACTGATGACCCCTCTGGGGCTGGTGGTGATGAAGAATGGATCTGTAGTTCCACTGGGTCCTGTGTAATAACCCCAGTGTCTGTTGGACATCCATATTCTTATAGTTTAGTTTCAGGTTGCTGATGTAAACCGAATTTTAGTCTGTATTTATTGACCACTTAGGGGGTTAAAACACATGATTTATTGGTTTACATCAGTTTACAGAGCAGCAATCGGACCAGAACATTTAGAAATTGAGTGTTTTATAATAATAATAATAATAATAATAATAATAATAATAATAATAATTATTATTATTATTATTATTATTATTATTATCTGGCTCCTACCTGAAACACAGGCTTCTGCAGTCCGTCTCCTGCCCCGTGCCGGGTGTAGATGTGCCGGGACATCTCCGCCAGCTCGTCGGTCCAAGGTGGAGGCTGCCGCTCCGCGCCGCTCCACCGGAACTGCTGCTCCGGCGGCGGCGGACTCCGAACCACCGAGTCCAGCTTCACTCAGCTTCAGTCCCGCCGAACAGACCAGAGGAGGAAGCTGAAGGGATGGATGCTGCTCTGCTGCAGCTCAGGCATCACTCAGCCTTTTATCCTCTCTCCTCCTCCTCCTAAGGCTGTGCTGCGTTCATGGACAGCAGAACTTCAGGATTTCAGACTATTAGTATGAAAAAATAAATTTTGTTTTAAAAAAATCCACCTAAAATTTCTTATTTGTGTGAAACGTTCCGTAACACTACAAATATCTTCTAAACGGGGAGATTATAGATTTTACACAGAGCAATTCAAACCACATTTATCAAAACTTTGCCGTAAGATAGAAGAATATCTCGATTTTTCGAGCAACGCTAAAAAAAATCACTATCTTATAACTCCCTGAAGAGACCGAAAAAATGAGTAGACTTTATTTATATAAGCTAGCAATTTTCACAATTTAAGTTTAAACCGCTATGTGCTTCAAAATAAAAACATAACACAAATGTGCATAAAACACACGAGCTAGATCAGAGAACATAAAAAAATGACGGCTTATTAAACTGGTAAAAAAAAATAAGTAACAGAACATTTCCTAAATATCTACTCAGATACATTTGTACGTGTCTACAGTTATCTGGTTATTAGTTATGTGTAAACGTAGGCTATATCATGTTGTGAATGCGTCCACTGGGTGACATTGGTTCAACTTTCATTTTGGAACTATTTTTCGACCATGACAGGACGTCTCACACTGACGTCGTTTCAAAGGTCATCAAACATCCGAATGCTTGTTGCTGCAAGCTTTAGATTGTAAATACCCACATAAATCATTATAACCCTCCCACTGTCTTTATGGGTGACCCCGCGAGGAAAACTGACCATTGAGCAGGGTTGATGGTTTATCCCTTGAGGTCCACGTGGCAGACATGAGGTGGTGCTCACTCCCCATCCCTGCCACGTGGACCCAAGGGATAAACCATCAATCCTGCTCAATGGTCAATTTTCCTCGCGGGCTCACCCATAAAGACAGTGGAGGGGGGGGGGGGGGTTAAAGGGTTTTATTGTGCAAAACTCACCTTCAGCATGCCTTTGTGCTGCCACGAGGCTCTGTTGCTTCTAGAAACACCCCAGACCCGAACAATTCCATCCATCCCCTTTCTGTGGTTTAAGGATTTATGTTGTCTACACCAAGACATTTGTGATGTCACAAATGAGGAATGTAGAATCAAACCACCTCTCATGTGCAAGTAGAGGGCTGCTGCTGGAGGAGCATCTAAGGTCCTCCCATGTAATGGAGCTTCTCAGCTTATAGCAGCCAATTATGGGGTGGGTGGCCAGCTCCACTTTCTTTTTCTTTTTTTTTTTTAAGTAACAAATCCCTGAAGAGGCTCATTCTGGAAGGTACTGAAACGGTCAGGACTAAAACTGCTGAATATGCTTTATGTGAGAGGGGTTTAGAACAAAGAACGTGGACAGATTTGGTATTGGAACTATTATAATTCAAGAAAAAAGAACATCTCTCCCATTTAAATACGTGATGCAAACCTGACTTTACATCTAATGGCTAAACCTTCATTATTTACTGTGCAGCATCCATCTGAAAGGAGCAGAAGCTATTAAAAGGCCCAGTTTAATGAATAAATGATGTCCTCTGGGTAGATCGGATTGGCTCCTACAGCCGTGATCGTTTGCGGAGGAAATGAAATGAACAAATGAACAAAGAAAGAAACAACCCACGGACATTAGTATTCTCTCTTTTATTTCAAAGAATATTTTTAGTTTGCTCTGTTGCAAAAGCAAGTTTAAAATCCCGGATAAAGAAACCTTTCCTGGAATACTTTAAATGTACAGAATTATACAAATCCAAAGAACTTTGTGGAAGAAATCCCTTGCAAAAGATTTGTCGATGTAACTGTTCTGATTTGTACAGAAAAGAAAAACAAGGCATTCAGTGGTAAATGCACGTTAACAAAGCTAAGGTGCAGTTTCAACATCAGTGACAAATCTAGGTCATTTACATTTAATATACAACAACTCTTATGTGAGGGAGCTAACAGGAAACATTTATTTGGTCTCAAATCAGAAGGTCACTGCTCGCAAGGGTAGATTTCAGAGAAAAGCAACCTTCATCTCAGCTCAAGAGCAACACCAGCAGGCTGGAAACGCTTTCAGTCCTCGTTGGGTTTGCTAACATGCCGAGATGTCGGAACAGAAACGAACGATTCATCTTCCTATACCCATGAAAATGTAGAATCTCTCTCTACACACATATAAATATATATAAATTAAAGCACAGGAAAAAGGTGATTCTGAAATTAAACATCTTGGTTTTATACATAAACATTAAATCTTAGTTTCCACTGAATGCAAGGAACCCACTAATAAGGACATAAAGGTAACGAGTGCAGCTTCTCACATCAACAAAGAATTTCACTCTCAAATCTGATGATCCTTAGAAAACACGTCAACACCCAAACACACAGATATGTCTTTAAAAGCAGAAAGCAGGGCAGTGGGGTGATGGGAAGGTGGAATGAAGCAGCCCGAGTGGAGACGCCGGTGGGTGAGGAGATGGAGGTTCTGATCACGAGCTTTTCAGATCAAATGGTTCTGGGTTTACAACATAAAAAAACACAAACCCCAAAGACAAACAAAGCATTCAGGCTGTGATCGGAACTCTACCATGCCATCATAAAGCCACTGCGCTTGTGTGTGTGTGTTTTAATCATGCACGTGTGGCCGTTTGGGAACGGCCCAGGTTTCCCTGCCCACGTACATCTGGTGTTCTCAGCTTTGTTTACCCTCAGCGTCGTCTCACAGGCTGTCTGTACATTTGGGTTGGACTTTGCAGGAATCCATCTCACACTTCTGAGAGGAAAAGTAGATCAGCTCTGACTGCCGCACTAAACACCGGCGACATCACGGATCCTGTGAATGCTTGCACTTCCCATGGAGAAGTGTGAGAAGTGTCTGACCGTTAATCTGGACTCAGGAGTGCTTCGACAGCAAAGCACCGTTTAGGATTAACAAGTGGGATGGAGGTAATAAAGAGGACTAGAACATAGAAAATCGTATCTTTCTCCAGCTCTGAACACGAGATCTGGAAAAACGACATCATCGTGTGAGAGAGAGTAGCAGAAGCTAGTGAGACGGTTGCTGCACTTGGAGGCCAACCCAACTCTTCTGTGTTCTGCTCAGCCCAAGGAGAGATGAGAAAAGCTCTGAAACTTTGATCGGAATCAGAACCGAGTCCAAACGTTTGATGCGCAGCAGACCCGTTCCACAAACCTAGCTGAGCTGCTTGCAGAGACGTGGACGAGGCCTGAGGATTTCTGGAAACAAGTCCAGCCGGAGAGGAGGGGGTAAGTAGAACATCTGAGGGGTGCATCCTGAGGTCTGCTTCCAGTCAGACATCTACAGCAGAGGTTGCTGATAATACGCCTGCTGCTGCTGCTGAGGAGGAGGAGGAGCCTGGTGAGGAGGACCAGCAACCGGATAAGACACAGGAGCCATGCTGGAGTTGTAATAGGCTGGCAAATCCATAGCTACACCCGCCTGGGGGGGGTATGGAACTGGGTTCACAACCGCAGCGTTTATAACAGTGCTGTGAAAAAAGCAACAGGAATGTTAGTTAATAAATTAAATCTTAGGGTTACGTCGCTGGACCCTGCAGGCCCCGTTTACAGAAGCGTGGCTGACGTCTGACCATGAGGAGCGAGATGCTATGCCTTGGTTGAGGGCTGGAGCTGAGACAGAGGGGGGCAGAGACTGTAGTGGTCCAGGCTGGTCGCTGGGTAAAGCGTAAGGCTGCACAGGAGGAACCTGGGGCATCCCTGGAGGCAGGTAGGGGGCCCCAGCTGGTCCAAGGTAACCCTGATCACAGCAGGAGAGAGCTTTGGGTTCATCCCACTCATTCATTAAAAGTGTCATCAGCTAAAAAAGTCCATTAAGAAAGATGAGAAACGGGTTAGAATAGAAATCAGACCAGTAGTGTTGGTCAAACCTTACTTTTCACATCAATTATCAGCTGATTTTTTTGGTCTAACTCTACAAAAACACGACAGATTTAACTAAATAACCACCAGTTAGTGAAAACACCGACAATAAAGAACCACAAATAAACAAACTATTCTAAGGATCAATTTTTAAATTCTTCTGGTGAGTTTAAAAGAGCTCCACAAAAATCATCAACATGAGGTCAGGAAGTACGCCGACAGGCACAGACTGCAGCTCTGCAGGGAGAGAAGGTGGCATCCATCACAGCAGAGAGAGGAGTGCTGACTGGACCTCAACAGCATCGGGACAAAATAAGTCTCGTCTCATCTTCCTCCGCTTATCCGGGTCTGGGTCGCGGGGGCAGCATCCCAACTAGGGAGCTCCAGACCGTCCTCTCCCCGGCCACCTCCACCAGCTCCTCCGGCAGGACCCCAAGGTGTTCCCGGACCAGATTGGAGATGTAACCTCTCCAACGTGTCCTGGGTCGACCCGGGGGCCTCCAGCCAGCAGGACATGCCCGAAACACCTCCCCAGGGAGGCGTCCAGGAGGCATCCTGACCAGATGCCCAAACCACCTCAACTGACTCCTTTCGATCCGGAGGAGCAGCGGTTCTACTCCGAGTCCCTCCCGAATGTCCGAGCTCCTCACCCTATCTCTAAGGCTGAGCCCGGCCACCCTACGGAGGAAACTCATTTCGGCCGCTTGTATCCGCAATCTAGTTCTTTCGGTCATTACCCAAAGCTCATGACCATAGGTGAGGATTGGGACGTAGATCGACCGGTAAATCGAGAGCCTGGCTTTCTGGCTCAGCTCCCTCTTCACCACGACAGATCGGCTCAGCGTCCGCATCACTGCAGATGCTGAACCAATCTGTCTGTCGATCTCCCGATCCCTCCTACCCTCACTCGTGAACAAGACCTCGAGAAACTTAAACTCCTCCACTTGAGGAAGGACCTCTCTCCCGACCCGGAGTTGGCAAGCCCCCCTTTCCCGGTCGAGAACCATGGTCTCAGATAAATTCAAAATAAGTCGTTTTAGCAAAAAAATAAACACAATGTATGATCAAGTAAGAGAAAAACCTTATCAAGTCAGTTTTTATCCCCTGGTGTCTCCATTAAACCAGAAATAATATAGCTGTGGAGCTGTAGAGTAAACATCTTCAAACAGAAGATCTCTGATCTGTGAAACTCGAGACGGAGTCCATCCTTGAATGATGCACGACTGCTCTGCTTTCTGCTGACCCTGCTCACATGAAGGAAACAGAAAAGGCAGCGACCAGAGTTCCCCTTTACACCAGGAGTTGTGTCCTGACCTGCATGGCCATGGAAGACGTGGCTGGGCCGTACTGGGGCTGCAGCTTGGAGTAAGCCGAGTAGAACGGAGTTTCGTTCATGAGTTTGTTGTAGAGGTCCAGGGCCTCCAGCACCTTCACGTTCAGCTCCGATAGCTCGGAGTGATTCCTACAACATCCACAGAGGAACTTGTTCAGTAAACGCGGGTCGTTATTCTGTCGGATGAATTTAACCTCGTACCTGTCGATCTCCTGTAGCTTCTCATCTATCAGCGGGTTCATCTGCTGACAAGCATCTGCTCAGAAAACAGGAGCACAGTTAGAATGCGACTCAGACCGACGGGAGCCGATCTTAAGAGTTCAGTTCAGACCTTCCAGGTGTGTTAGCTCCGACGAGTCAGGGGTGGAATCCGCAGGGTCCGTGTTCTGCAGCAGCGCCAACGCTCGATCCATCTTCGCCTGCGGACAGGAAACACGAGACCTGGGTCGGTTTGACAGACAGGCGACTGGAGTTTGTACATAAATATGCACGAGAAATGTGGTACCTCATCGATGTAGACCGGCTCGGGCTCAGCTTTGAGTTCCGGGCTCGCCTCGTCAGAACTGGCTGCCTTCTCTACATAAACCACTGTGGGACAAAAGAACAGGGTTTTCCTTTACAGCCATGCAACAGAGACGGGTCAGCAGACTGGATCTACCACCAACCTGGCTCTGGCTCAACGTTCAGACTGGTGCTGACGAAGTTAGAGGGGAAAAGCCCAACTCCTCTGTGGTTTTCTCCTTTCCACCAGTTTGGATCGCTGCAAAATGAATAAAATAAAATAAAGTGGTTTTAGACACTCAATCCTGGTAAAATGATTTCCAAAGACCTGCAACGACCCATGCTCAGTCGTCTGTTGGATTACCTGTCGTCCAACAACAGAATGAGTTCTCCAGCTTTAAAGGTGAGCTCGTTGTCTTCAGCAGCTTCAAAGTCATACAGCGCGCGCACCTTGCGGGCTTCCTGTCCTCCACTTCCGTTAGTGAGGTTTGGGGGGTCAGAGGTCAAGGTTAGGGCTCGTGTGTCTGCTTGTTGCTTCTGCTCCTGTAGGGACAGCTCAATGGCTGGACAGAGACACGAGGTTCGTCTGCGGCAGGACTTAAAGACACTTTAATAACATGATTTTATGGTTTCAGGTGGAAACATCTTAAAAGGTAAATAAACACATTAAAGTGTTTTTATCTTTAGAACCACAGACGTAAACAAGGCATCCATCTTTACCTTTGGCCAGGTCCTCCTCATCTGGTGCTTTACTTGCAGCAGGTGTGCTGACCTTTGTGCTGGATCCCTGTGGTCAATACCGAAAGAGAAGGTCACAACAGCGTGTGTGTGTGTGTGTGTGTGTGTGTGTGTGTGTGTGTGTGTGTGTGTGTGTGTGTGTGTGTGTGTGTGAGTGTGCATTAGTAAAGGAAGGTAGAGTGAAGCAGAAAAACTAAAGGGGAAAATTGATTTCCTGCCACCTGCAGTCGGAGCTGAGAAGCAGGCTGCTGCTCCTGCTGTGGGCTGCAGGAGCAGAGAGCCTCACAGACCATAATTTAAACACAGTTGAGTTTACGGGTGGAGGTTGGTGGTCAGGAGAGCACCACCCGTGCTGCTTCCTCTGGACTTTAACCAGTGAACCAATAAAACAAATGGCCCCAGAAGCGGCTAACAGCAGGGACATGAGGCCTACCAACCCGGAGAGAACAGCACACACCTGGCGTTTAGAACGGGCGCCAGCTACAGGTAAAGACCTGCTCGAGTCACACAGCCCGCTGCTTTCTGCTCATGAGCTGATTCAGACTAAATGTCATACCTGCCGCCTCGTGTCACCTGCTCCAGCATCACTCTCACAAAAATAACAACACACACCTGAGTGGAGCTCAGCCAGAAGCCAGGCCGTAAACACAATCAGAGGCAACAGTTCTTCTGAAATCCAGATTAATAATCCACACTGAGCAGCTTCTTTATCACAATCTGATTAATTCTTCTGCAGTAATAACCTTGTTTGAGACTGGAGCTCCAGAAAGACGGCTCACGTAGTAACTATTTATACGTTGTACACACGTAAACGGCCTTTAGGGCTTTTGTTTGCTAACAGAAAGACCATTTCTGAGACGATTTACTCCTCGCGTCGTAACACACCTGTGAGGATGAGGTAGGGAAGGTGACGCCATCTTCTTTCAGAGACTTGATGGTGGCACCAATCAAGCTGAGCTGTGGATCCTTCTGGAAATCTTCTGCCCACTCCACCATCATGGCCTTTAGCTTTTCACAAACCTTCGGATGGGCCTGAAGGAGACACCAATAAACATTCATTAACCCACACTCTGAGCTTAAAAGCACAAAGGAGTAAGAAAGGTTTACGGACCTTGCCCAACACGGAGCGTACTTCACTGGAAAAATCCCTGGAGCAGATTTCCAGATGGAATATTTTACCACAGTTTGAGACACAAGCCCCCAGCAGCTGCAGGGTCAGACAGAGCACAGATGTTAAAGATGTCCGCCAGGGCTTCGGCCCAGGAGGAGCCGCTTATCTTCTGCGTAGAAACAGATGTCAGGAGGAGTGGGAGGGACTAAGAACGGCCATGGCGTCAGGGTTAACGGTGAATGAGTTAATATAACAAAAAAAACAGGCTACAGGCTCATGATGACACCAATGTTAAATCCTCATGGTGTAAAACTTGTGGGTTTCAGTAAAGAGCCTCAGCTTAGAGAAAGAGATCTGTCTGAATCCAGGAGCTGCATGGTTAAGCCTAATTTATACTTTTATGTGTGCGTCGGGACGGACGCATGCACGCAACGCCATTATCCGTCCTTAGGAGCCTGCTGGAGAGCCCTCGCAAGCACGGAAAGAGTCGAGCTCTCTTTTCTAAACATTCGTCCGTCGAGACGGAGAACGCAAGCTTGTGATTAATCAAGACGCCGTTGTCGTGTACAGCGCCGCCATTGCACCCTAAAAAAATAAAGGGAGCTGAGGAAATCTAGCAGAAGATACGGAGAAGCTTAAAGAATAACTCGCAGAAAAACTCTAATATGAACGTTTTGGTCACCCGTGACTGGAGGAGTGAAAAGATGCGCAGCAAACGTTTTATTTGTGGACGGAAATGACGGGAAACGTGGGTTTAGAGGTGGCGAGCGCATGAAGAGGTGGAGAACGAGGGACAAATTTGTCCATGTTAAAAAGTCTCTTCAATACAAAAAACACAATATAAACACACTATCTTGGACCGATACATGACAGGATACCACAGAACAGCGTTGCGCCCTCTGTTGTCCTGGCGGGGAATTGCTTTGCAACACTCCCCAGGAGACGGAGTATGAGGGCAAATTGTCTCCATCCGTGCGTGTCTCTCCCTCCTTGAGCTGACGGAGACGTATAAATTAGGCTTTAGGCTGATTACTTGCACTGTGAGCCACAAGGCGGTTCAAATTCAAACAACACTCCAAATGTGTCTTCTTCTTCCCTGACGGGACTGCTGCTTCCTCAGTAGCCACGTTTACATGCGCATATTTAATCGGATTGAATGCCCATTCAGATTGAAAATTCTGCATGTAAACATGTCAATCAGAATATTCTGACCCGATTCGGCCCGATCTGATTGAAATTTCAATCCGATTGAGAGAGGTGGTTTATTCCGTTCTTCATTCCGATTGACGTGCATGTACACAGCCATTCAGATTGTTGGGGTAAAATAATGCCCACTGCGCATGTGTGCAACAGCCAGCAGGCCTCTCCGCTGTCATTTGGACTGCCTGACTTCAAAAATGACGGTGTAATTAACGAGCGGCGGCTTTTAAATCCGACGACAAGCCGTCCCGTTTCAGTAATATTTAATTCAGAACTTGCATTTTGTGGAAGTAAAAAAAAAATCTGATTATTGCACAAATCATTCGACAAAGATGTTCAAATCTGTACTGGAAATACGCGGGTTTATCGTGGGGGTTGCAGCGCACGGATCCCCGTTTCTGTCAGCTTTGAACACAGCAGCTTCTGCAGCAGGTGATGGAGACACGCTTGTAAAGAACACAGGATAATATGGGTTTTACAGACCTGATTGGAGGCTGATGTTGGGTAGGAAAACGTCCTCGGTTAAATACTCTGGACGACAGTAAAGTCCGTGTTCGTTAAAAGCACGTAAACGCAGATGACCTGAGATGCGGTTCGTTAATGATGAACACAGGCTTCTAAACTTTCTGAACATCTTCTGTTATTTTGTTTGAACAGATTTTTCTCAACAGTTTCAGCTGATTGGACCGCCAAGGCTCCCGCCTTTCCTCCGTAGGGTGGCCGGGCTCAGCCTTAGAGATAGGGTGAGGAGCTCGGACATTCGGGAGGGACTCGGAGTAGAACCGCTGCTCCTCCGGATCGAAAGGAGCCAGTTGAGGTGGTTTGGGCATCTGGTCAGGATGCCTCCTGGACGCCTCCCCGGGGAGGTGTTTCGGGCATGTCCTGCCGGCAGAAGGCCCCCGGGTCGACCCAGGACACGTTGGAGAGGTTACATCTCCAATCTGGTCCGGGAACGCCTTGGGGTCCTGCCGGAGGAGCTGGTGGACAAGGCCGGGGAGAGGACGGCCTGGAGCTCCCTAGTTGGGATGCTGCCCCCGCGACCCGGACCCGGATAAGCGGAGGAAGACGAGACGAGACGAGTTTCAGCTGATCGTCACATGTTATTAATAATAAGCCACAACAGAGCTCAGTAATAAAACATGAGGCTAACCCCCCCACCCCCCACCCCCACTCTGTGGCGCAGCGCAGCTCAACAGCTGTCAATTCAGACCCGCAGACCAGCTGATCAAGAGGCAGACATAACCCTCCCTTATTTTAATCAACAATAAAATGCAGCAAAGCATATATCTGCAGTTATTCACTGAAGAAAACGTAACTTCTATGAGCTAAATAAAAATATTAAATTGAATAAATGGATCAGGAAAGCAGGAAGAATGGTTATTTCTGTTTTTACATTTTTCTTTTCGTTTCATGGCGTTTGTTTACAATTTTTCTTTCGTGAAAGGCAACTCTGCGCATGCTCAACCTATTTAATCGGATTAAATGCTTGGTGCATATGTACGCACGGCATGATCGGATCATTTCAGTTCGTGTCCATGTGAACAGAGATTCGGAAATTCCGATCAACCAAGATTTCAATCGGATTGAGGAAATTTGCCACATGAAAACGCAGCTAGTGACAGACGGAGGCTGGACAGGCTGAATGGGTGATTTTTGTTCTTGGAACAATGGCGGACCAAGCAACAGGGGATTACGGTTTTGAATGTTAGCATAACAACTTCTGGTGGTAAACACATAAAAACTTAGAGCAGTTGTGTTGTTAGATTTTTCTGTTTGCATATTTTTTGCTTTAAACATATAATTAATCATAAATGATAAAAAAACCTGTAAATGCTAGTTGGATGGAATCTGTATTCTTCATATTTTGTTTCAAAGGGCAACTAGGCAGTTGTGGCTTGCTTTAGCACCCCCTAGAGTCCATTTGTAGAACCGAAACCAAAACCCATCTCGCGGTGCTTTGTCTTTTTAACACCTTGATCCATCAGCTGAAATGTCTCCCAGCCTTCTTTAGTGTCTACAGGAGTGATTCATCACTAGTTAAAACAAATCAGCTGTGTTCATGATCTAACATACAGGAAACGGGCTGTAACCAGACTGCAGCACCAGGTATGTCAGCTCCGTATCCCAACAGAGGAAGTGGAATATTCTGGCCACAGAGGGCGATAGGATCTGGGTGGCCTTTCATAAACCCTGCAAAGGGTCGTTTAAGCACATGCTGGCGCAAGAAAATGATTTAAAAGCATGACAAACTTGCAAAGTATCCCTTTGTCATCAGTTTATCTCCATTGTGGTTGCTAGGCGATAGGCTGAGGCGAGGGCAGGAATAAAAATGAAGGCTAGCTCACTGGATTTGGACTCACTCTCTTTGATCTAATGGGGCTCTCCACCAGATGCAAAACCTAACAGATGAGTTTTCACCACAACGTCAGCAGAGCGTCTCCTCCTACCAGGACTGTTTCAGACACGCGGTGGCTGCGAACGCGTTCCACGCAGCTAATCTCAAAAGATAATGAAAATCACAGGAGAACTGCAAGATCACATGTGATTTCACCAGATCACATGATAACAAGCTAGGACAAACAGCTACAACGTAGGGCTGGGCGATAGGGCTTAAAATCAATATCACGATATATTGAGGATTTCACCTCGATAACGATAAATGGACGATAACTACAGGTATGTGCAGAAACAAATGTTGTCCACTAGATGGCGCTGTCACATGTATTACATTAAATCACATTTTTACGTGACTTAAGGTGGTACAGCTTCTTAAAAGGCCATGAACGTTGCCAACCTACACACATCTTTTCATTTGTTTATTATCTAATTTACTGAAATGAGAAAAATGATCGATAAAAGTGACAAATTTCGATAAAGATACATTTTCAATTTATTGCACAGCCCTACTGCCACGTTTGACTTCCTGTCTGGACTGATCGGAGCTGCTGAGCATGTTCTGAAACCATAGCATGTAAGACAGATCCAGCAGCACGTAAATTTACCGGAGGCCTCGATGCTACACTACAACGTGTCTGAGGCGTACCGCTGCACGCCTGGGGGAAACACACCCACAGACTAGAACGGTGACCGTTAGCTGTGGACTTCGCTTGGAAGACATTACCCGTCGCTTATGCATCTGATGGAAACCTGGGGTGATAGACAAGCCAACTGCTAGTCTGAGCAGAAAATTTCACACAAATTATTTACTCACCTTAGTTTTCTATTTTCTTAACTTTAAAGCCTAAAAGGCAGAATGAAACTCACGTTGAGAGCCTGCATGGCGACATGAGGCACTTTGTGGTTGACTCGCTTCATTATGGATTTCAGGCCGTCCTTCGGGCTGAACCAGAGGAGATAAACCAGATTAACTCCAGGAAATGGGATTGTTAGCAAACCATATATGTGTGGCATTAGACTCCATTCACTAAATCACTCCAGGAATTATTCAGTGTCTTTGCCCAGCTCACCCATTGGCTGTCGTTCCAATCTTATCGCAGATGTCCATGATGAGCCCCCAGTCATCTGTTGTGTTGTTTTCATTTGTTGCTTTCTCTGGAAATGGTGCATATGGTCAAGTGAGAAAACATGCTCGCTGCCATCATGGCTGCTGGGTTTTGATGCCAGCCACAGCAGGCGAGTGCCACCGGGCTCTTTGGTCACACAATGAAGCACAACCACCTCCCAACAACCTCCCTCAGATGAACATTTGGCACAACAGTCATGACTCCTGAGTCCACAGAGCACCATTGTTTGGTCTAAGCATGCTGCTGCTGGGGTGGGAAAGGCCGGCAAACGAGGAAGTGATGAAGAGAATTTACATTCAGAACAATAAAGATGCATCTAGACTTGGCAGCAGTAATATCACAACTGCTTTGAATAATGTTAGCCACTTTGTGTTGATTTTTAATTCACCTGCACTGAACTGAATAATAATAGTTTCATATTTCACTTTTTACCACATTGTTGTCTGTTGTTTTAAGTCCGTTCATCTGCTGTGGCTTAATGACACAAACTGTTGAGCCACAATTCTGGAACTTTAATATTGTATTCTAAATTTCCTACATTATCATTAACATTTTAATTAAGTCTTAATATTTTATATTGATGATAAAAAAACTCATGTTGGTTTTAAATATTGGTATTATCTCCGTTTAATATTCATTTGAATAGCTCTAAAGCACCAAACTTTATGAAAAGAGCGTAATAAAATATTTCAAATTGATAATGGTTTAACTGGATTCAACCATCCCAGCAGAGCGCAGTTAAAACACAGGCTTAATAAGAAAATGTTTAAGTTGAGCTGAGAACTAATATTACTGTTATTAGTGAGACAAGTATCCCTGAACCACAAAAGCAAACACATGTGGAGAAAAATAAGAATAAACGTGATTCTGAGAATTGAGCCGAATTGCTCCTGAGGTAACAGGGAGTGGAAACAACACATCAGCGATATTTGTTTAATTTCCAGAGATCTACACCTCACTACAACCCCTGCTGGGTTTTTAATACACACTGTTGGGCAATTTGATAAATAAAACCAAAAATATCTAAAATAAAACATGATAAAGCCTTCACAGACCTGCATTTTTTCTGTTTGTTTGGTAAAAATGTACTCCCAATATTATTATTTTTAATGATAATAACAATACAATTTTGAAACAAAAGCATTTTGAGCCAGAAAGTAATCTTTAACATGCTTATGTCCCACTTACCATTTCAGATCATAAAGCACAACATTATATTATTAGAAACGTTTGTAAGAGAAAAATCCATAAACTAGTTTGTGTTGACAAACAACTTGAAATTAAATTAAATTTAATTTAAAATTTGAAATGTAAATTATGACAAATAAATCATCCACCTGTGTCTCAGTTATGAATCTTAATTTATTTAATTGGATTTACGAGTATTTTAAAGTGTACTCGGTTAAAACTAACACATTTAAAGGGCCCTTGCTATTTTTTTAGGAAAAGAGCTAGCTGTTATCATGAGTCAGACTTAAGTTGGTTACAAAACAACGCCCGAAATGACCCTCAGACTAGATAAAAGTTGTTGACAAGAAGTCAACAAAACGTTAAAAAGTGGACAAAACCTGTCAGGGTTGAACGTATTAAAACTGCCAAAGCTGAAATATCGTAACTTTAGAGCTCACTAAGCTACGTTAGCATTAGCTTCTCGTCAGCTGCTCTGAGTCCATGAAAAGACCAACAATAAAACAAGTCACTCACCAACATCTTGATCGAAGGGATTTTGGGAAAATAAAGGCATTTTAGCGACTCAAAAGAAACTAGGCTCCGACAAAGAAGAGTACGCGTGTTATCGAGACTAAACTTAAACAAGCGTTTATTCCTTGTTGTCCATTAAACTTGCACTAGTTGCTCTTCCGGTGTTGTGCCAAAAACGGCACCCCTGTCGTCATAGCTATTTCCCAAATGCCTGTTCGGTTGGGAGGAGAGCCGAGAAACACTAGTAGTAGTACATTGATTTAGTCTGGCTTGCCAGGCTAGAGAAACACTTCAGTAGTTTTGCTAGGAAATATATGAAATATATAAAGTATTTATATAATATAGAATAGAATAAAATAGACTTTATTGGTCCCACAGTGGGGAAATTCACTTCGTACAGCAGCTCCAACACTTATATAAAACTTACATTACTATATATATATATATATATATATATATATATATATATATATATATATATATATATATATATACATACATACATACATACATACATACATACATACATACATACATACATAAAACCTTCGTCCACTAAAAACTACGAATAAAAAAGGAAAAGCTTGTGTTCCAACACTACTATGCAGCAAATGTAAGCTATAAAAAGATACTTTTTAAAATAATTTTTGGATTGAGCCTTAAATCTGATTAAATCGTGGTTTTGTTACAAAGTTGTTTTATTCTTTATAAAAATACATTAAAATGAACCCGTTTTTTTTTCTTTATTTCTGATGTTTTATCAGGAGGCAGTGTAGTGTTGTGCCGTCTTATTTACATATTATAAATGTGTTCAACGTTATCTTTTAAAATACGTATTTATCTTGTCTCAGGAAGTTAAATGTCGTTTTGTTTTCTTTAAAACCAAGTCAATGCAAATGCAAAGTGAAATTGCCAGAAAATTGATGGAGATGGATTTGGAGATTTCTGTATAATAAAAATCATCACAGGAGGACGACAAACGCACAGCAGAAACGTGATTCAAGAGTTACAAGATAGTTCAGCCCCCAAACCCCTGCTTCATCGATGCCTGCTCTTATTTCAAACCGGAAGTTTAAGAAGTTTAGAACCATCTTGTTTTGTGACGACACTTCCTGGTGTAACTCCCGATTGTTTCCTGACTCAGCCTGACGTCCACCGTCGTTTAGGACCGTTAAGGGTTGGAGTCATGTCGGCAGCTGTTCCGGGGACCAGCAAGGCGGCCCACGGTGATGCGGGCTCGAAGAAGAAGAAGGGACCCAGTGCCCTGGCCACGGCCTACCTGGTTATTTACAATGTTGTGATGACAGCTGGGTATGTAATGTGTTTCCTCGTGCTAACGCTGCTGGTGAGCTGGACCGTGTGTGCATTTGCGCTGCATGCAGGTCAGGACCCGAAAATCCTAATAATAATAAAAAAATAAATAAACAATTTGATGCGATAATACATAAGTATTAAAATGCTTAAATATAATTGGAGACATTGTGGTGTTATAATTTCATCCTCGACTTCTTACGGCTTACACAGATTAACATGAGCAACAGACAGCCAGCTGGCATGGACGCCATGGTGTTTACAATCCAGAAACAACAGGAAATACAGCTGGTTATGTTGAGATTCAATTTTATTTTATTTCTTACTAATTGTGCTACTTTTTTCACCATCAGTCCAGTAAAGTTAAAGACGTGTGTGTGATCTGGCTTCTCACATGAAATTCGAACACAATTTTAACGTGTGGCATCCAGATGATGACATTTCCTTTAAATGGGCCTAAAAACCTTAATCTCAATGGGTCTTCTTTCTTTTTTAGGTGATATTTAACCAGAGCTGTTTTAAAATGATTGGCTGTGCCTGATAAGGCCATAAGACTTGGCCAATCAAAGTCTTTGCTTATGAGGACTGAACCAACCTCCTTCAGTTCAGTTCATGTATGTAGTTCAAGATCTACAGTAGAGATTCTTACATTTCTCTTTAGTATAATTGTTTCCATCAACTAATATTTATTGGAAAATTTATAGTGATCATTGGTTTCTTCGAGATATAAATATTACTGCAAATCTATGTTAAAAGCATTTAGTTATAAAGTGATTTTTATAATTGAAACAATCAAAGGTCTTGAACTCTGAGCTAATAAATCTTTGTGTGGTTTTTATCAGTTTGATTTTTAAACTCTTGCTCAACAGAGCAGTAGGCGTTGTTTCCTCGCTGTTCCAACCAGTTAGGTCACATTTACCCCGCTCACAGTCACAACCCATGGACTGTTCAGAGCATGTATTGTATAAAAACAAGCTAGAATTGTGTGCTTGCAAATTCTTGCAGTTGCGTTCACGGTTTCTGCTTTACTGATGTTGATAAAGTCACCGAATGAGACTGTGCTAGTTTAACCACGTCTGAAATGTTACCTGAAACAAAACAAGGTGACCTGTTTAGGAGTTTTATCATAGGTGGGATATGTTTAGAATTAAAATGTATTCTTTGGGGTTTGTTTATTTGCAGTAACGTTCCCGTTTATGTCTTTACTAATATTTGCTGAGTGAAACCTTTGTAATGAAGGACTTCACTGTAAATTCACTCATTGTTCCCTCAGCTTTGACCCACAGATTTTGCATTAACCGTCATGTTGATCTGTTCCTTATGGACACGACATGAAAGTTATTTTTTGATGAATTATGAGATAAATATTCAAAGCAGAGAAATAAACGTGTTTCCCTCTGGTGTCTAGGTGGCTGGTTATCGCTGTGGGTCTGGTCCGAGCTTACCTGGCCCGAGGAAGCTACCATGGCCTGTATTATTCCATCGAGAAACCTCTAAAGTTCTTTCAGACTGGAGCCATTCTGGAGGTGAGAGAAGCACCGAGACAGATTAATCCTAAAGTTTTAAGATAAACAGCTTTTATGACTCAAATCAGTTCACTAGCTGACATATTGTTAGGGTGTAGCAGTTGTTAACATGTCATTAGATTAATTGTTGCTTTTTTTTAAGAATAAATTAAACCTATAGCCTTGACTTAAGTTATATCTGTTTGGTTTGTCTTCAGTTGCATATCAGCCTGATAACATCATGCTTGTCTGCACGTCTCACACACTCGTGTAATCAAAGGTACTTATGTACATTTTCATAGATATTAACTCACACACATACGTATATAAACACAAAACATGCATGTCAATCCTTATTTATATCCATACATTAGGGCTGAGCAATAAATTGAAAATAATAATAATAATTCATTTTATTTCAACAGCGCCTTTCTAAACACTCAAGGACACTTTACAGACAGAGATAAAATACACAACAATAAAAGATAGAACAGCATAAAACAGACAGATTGGAGCAAAGAGAGTAATTATTGGAATGCTGGACGGAACAGGTGGGTTTTGAGTCTGGTTTTAAAGAGAGTGAGGGAGTCAATGTTACGGAGGTCAGGAGGGAGGGAGTTCCAGAGCTGGGGAGCAGAGCGACTGAAGGCCCTGCTCCCCATAGTGACCAGACGGAGAGGTGGGACAGAGAGGTGGATGGAGGAGGAGGACCTGAGGGAACGGGTGGAGGTTGAAGGATGAAGGAGGTCTGAGAGGTATGGGGGAGCTAGGTTATGGATGGCTTTGAATGTATATAGCAGAATTTTGAATTGGATTCTGGAAGTAACTGGGAGCCAGTGGAGCTGCTAAAGAACAGGGGTGATGTGGTGGAAGGGGGGAGTACTGGTAATGATGCGGGCTGCCGAAGTTCTGGAGGAGTTGGAGTTTATGGAGGGATTTGTGAGGAAGACCGAAGAGAAGAGCGTTGCAGTAGTCAATACGGATCGTAATCAAAAATTTGACTAACCAATATAATTTTTTTCAATGTTAATAAATTTGGTTATAAAAAATGAAAAGATGTGTGTAGGTTAGTGATGTTCATGTCCCTTTAAGAAGCTGTATCAGGCGTATAATGTAGTCAACGTGACAGCCCCATCTAGTGGACAACTTTTGTTTTTGTGCATACATGTAGTTCTTGTCCATTTAACGTTATCAAGATGAACTCCTCAATATACCTTGATGTTGATTTTGGGCCATATCGCCCAGTCCTACCATACATTAAAACTAGGGGTGGGAATTTAACGGGTTAATTACGATTAATTACTTAGAAAAAAATAACACATTAAAAAATTAACGCTTGAGCCCGAGTACCCTCAACTGGGGGCTGAAAATATTTAGCATCACAATTTATGTCCTAAATACACTGAACAAAAATATAAATGCAACACTTTTATTTTTGCTCCCATTTTTCATGAGCTGAACTCAAACATCTGAAACTTTTTTATCTGCACAAAACACCAATAACTCTCAAATGTTCTTCTGAAATCTGCCTACATGTGTGATAGTGAGCACTTTTCCTTTACGAAGATAATCCATACCACCTCACAGGTGTGGCATATCAAGGAGCTGATTAGACAACATGAATAATGTACAGGTGTGCCTTAGACTGCCCACAATAAAAGGCCACCCTTCGATGACTTTTAGTTTGATCAAGTAGCACAATGCCACAGATGTTGCAACCTTTTGAGGAAGCGTGCAATTGGCTATGCTGACTGCAGGAATGTCTACCAGAGCTGTTGCTTGTGAAATAAATGTTCATTTCTCTACCATAAGCCGTCTCCAAAGGCGTTTCAGAGAACTTTTCAGTACATCCAACCAGCCTCACAACTGCAGACCACGTGTGACCACACCAGCCCAGGACCTTCACATCCACCATGTTCACCTCCAGGATCGCCTGAGACCAGCCACCCAGACCGCTGCAGCAACAATCGGTTTGCATAAGCAGAGAATTTTTTCACAAACTGTCAGAAACCGTCTCAGGAAAGCTCATCTGCATGCTCTTCGTCCTCATCAGGGTCAGGACTTGACTGAGGTCCGTCGTCGTAACCGACTTAAGTGGGCAAACACTGACATTCGATGGTGTTTGGCATGTTGAGGCATTATGTTCACAGATGAGTCCCAGTTTTCACTTTTTAGGGCAGATGGCAGACTGTGTGTGTGGCGTCGCGTGGTTGAGCTGTTTGCTGATGTCAACATTGTGGCACGAGTGGCCCATGGTGGCGGTGGGGTACTGGTATGGGCAGGCGTATGTTATGGACAACAAACACAGGTGCATCTTATTGATGGCATTTTGAATGCACAGAGGTACCATGACAAGATCCTGAGGCCCATTGTTAGGCCATTCATCCACAACCATCACCTCATGTTGCAGCATGATAACACACAGCTCCACATTGCAAGGATCTGTACACAATTCCTGGAAGCAGAGAACATCCCAGTTCTTGCATAGCCAGCCTACTCACAAAACATGACACACATTGAGCATGTTTGGGATGCTCTGGATCAGCATATACAACAGCGTGTTCCAGTTCCTGCCAATATTCATCAACTTCACACAGCTATTGAAGAGGAGTGGACCATCATGCCACAGTCCACAATCAACAACCTGATCTATGTGACGGAGATGTGTTGCCCTGCATGAGGCAAATGGTGGCCACACCAGATACTGACTGGTTTTCTGCCCCACCACCACACATAAAGTAAAACTGTGCACATGGCAGGGTGTCCTTTTATTGTGGGCAGTCTAAGGCACACTGTACACTATTCATGCTGTCTAATCAGCCCCTTGATATGCCACACCTTTGAGGTGGTATGGTTATCTTGGTAAAAGAAAAGTATTCACTAACACACATGTAGATAGATTTCAGAACAATATTTGAGAGTCATGGGTCTTTTGTGTATTTAGGCAAATTTTCAGATGTTTGAGTTCAGCTCATGAAAAATGGGAGCAAAAACAAAAGTGTTGCTTTTATGTTTTTGTTCAGTTTATCAAAAAATATCAAGCAGCACCTCTAACAAAACAGCAGAGTCTGGGCTATAAGACTGTATAAGTTTTTTTAGGTAACACTTTAGGAATTAACCATTAACTAGCTGCCAATTAATATGCATATTAGCGGACTACTAAGTTTGAATGAGTCATTATTAAGCTGATATTAGGTGCTTATTACCAGTGCTGCAATTCTAACATTAACAGGCCATAAATTAAGAGTTTTATCAAAATAAGCCATTCAAAATGGTTTGTTAACTGAAAGTAAATGATTTGTTGCTGATTAACACACATACTAAGTATCGCAAATCAATATGTGGCTTTTAAAGAAGTAATTCAAGGGGAATAGTTATTCTGCATTAATAACCAAAAATATTGTGTTCTGGTATTATGTAAATAAACTACAAACTCCACATGTTAATAGAGCCTAAACAACAATCAATTAACCACTTGTAAGCAAGAATATGTTCAAGTATATGGAGAACGCCTTAGGATTCTTCCGGAGGAGCTGGCCCAAGTGGCCGAGGAGAGGGAAGTCTGGGCCTCCCTGCTTAGGCTGCTGCCTACCCTAACCCCGGATAGCGGCCACAAATGGATGGATGGATGGATGCGTGTATGCATGCTTAACAACGTCTGTGTGGCACCCTCTTCAGGTTAAATGTCTGCTGTATGGCTTTAGTTGTTACTTGTGATGCCAGCTGCACTGTTGCTGGGGGTATAAAGCAGCCGAGTCTGCTGAGGACAAATTACCAACATCAGTGATGAGGTCCCAAAGATTCTCAACTTCCTCATGGTTGTTACAGAGCCTCTTCTGAGTTTTTAACAGGTTAAAGGTCTCATTAACTTGTTTTTAAAAAGATTTGATTTGATTTGGTTTGAATGAATGGCTTGTTAGTTGTTTTCTCTAGGGGAAAAAAACTCTGGCACTCCTGTCTCTCTGACTGTTATTTGACTCAATCTGGAGTCAATTTAGAAACAGTAAATCATAGATGAGTCAACTTCCACTAGCTTATTGTGTACCTTTCTTTGATATGTTTCCTTTTGTCCCACAGATCTTTCACTGCGCTGTAGGTGAGTGTCTCCGCAGTCCCATCAGTGTCGTGTATAATGCTCAAAAGGAATAGTTTATTGATTTTGTTAGGCGTTTGCCTTTACTGATAATAGATATGACTCTTTAGGAAAAAACAAAACAACAGTTTCGGAAAAACATAACAGCAATACCAATGTCAGACTCTTACCTCCTAATGCAGGAATTGTACCATCCTCCGTGGTCCTGACTGGGTTTCAGGTCATGTCCCGGGTCTTCCTGACTTGGGCCGTCACCCACAGTGTCAGAGAGGTATGAAGACTTTCTTTACTTTTATGAAACGCCTAAATCAGCTGACATCTAGACAGAGGTGGTAGCATTTACTTTATTTAAAAGTGACCAGTTGTTTGCCCTGTTTGTAGACTGGAGAGGAGTTCACGTGTAAGTAAAATCAAACGGTCTTGCTGGAGGGTTGCTGGAATGAATCTGTTAGATCTTGATGTTTCATAAAATAAACTGTATGTTGGTAACTTTTGATCTTTAGTGTGTACTGACATTTATTCTGTCCTTTCTCTCATGAATGCGAGTCAAACGAACCTCCGTTGTGTTATTGATACAAAGTGTGCTTTTCCCTTTAACTCTGAATTTTTAACTTAATATTTGAGGATGACGTCTGTAAGCCTGCAGTGTGATATGACCTCTTAGCATCAACAGCATGGTCCTTTGAAGAAACTGCATTAGTCTATGGCAGACCAAAGCATGATGTAAGCTCGTCTGCTACCCTGCCCTTTCTTCCCATCATCCTTTGCGCGCGTGTGTGTGTGTGTAGGTACAGAGTGAGGACAGTGTGCTGCTGTTTGTCACAGCCTGGACTGTCACCGAGATCATCCGCTACTCTTTTTACACCTTCAGCCTACTCAATCACCTGCCATACCTCATCAAATGGGCAAGGTGAGAAACCCACAATCCTTTCTCACTAACAGAATTTCTGTGTAATTTTCTCAAACCTCCACAGATCAACATGTCTCCACTTCACCAAGCTGATGTCTTAGCAGAGTCCTTAACCCTCTGGAGGCAGGCGTTGCAGATTTGCAACGTTAAAACCTACCTACCTGGTTACTCCACATACGTATTTCATGAGCATTTTAAACTCAGACGTACCCCTGAAGGACTTAGTTGTTCGTCCTTTTATCAAAACGTATTTTGAGCCTGAGAGGGTTAAAGGTCTGATTTTGTTTAGAGACACAACAGCTGATGCAACATTTACATCGAGTGCAGACTGGATGCAGTCCATTTTCCGTTTAGACTGACAAGGAAGTGAGACATGTGCCAGCGAGGTGCATCTAGTATATTTCAAAATAGAAACCCTTTTGCGTTTCCAGCTTTTTTCATAATTAATGACGGGAATATCATTTCACAGCTTATGTTATTTTTACAATTATATCTTTAAAGATATTATGTCAAATTTTCGATCAGTTGCTGCTCTTGCATGAGTGCATGTCTGGAAACCTTCAGCACACAAACTGCAGTCAGTATGGAACCTGGCTGCATTCATGCAGTACTTGTTATATATATGAGGCGTGAGCATGCATATTTTCCTGCTGGCTCAAATTACACACAGACTTCCAGGGAAGCCCAGTGATAATGTCTTACGAGCCGGGTGGGGGGGTAGGAGGGGTCGTTGTCCATCGCAATAGCCTCCATTAAAAGGGGAGGGGTTACAATAGATAATTTCTCGAGCTCCCCCTCTGTCAGCTGAGGGCTTCGGGAGCCTGTCACCCCGTCGGGGGAGCTGGGCTCCTCCTCGCTCCTCATGATTCGAACCATGCATTTTGGTGAGTTGAGGAGAAGAAGTCCACTACTTCTAGTGGTTTGGACCCAGTGAATTCTGAACACTGTGGTATACATTCAAGCAAGCCCATGAATAATATGAAACACTTCTTACTTTCTCTCACACACAATTGGTCACGTTGCATCTCCATATTTTTGTTAAAATGTTTTGCTGGAGGACAAACTTGACAGACTCCAGTCATGATCCTTGAGATTGTAGATGTTGTGTTTGGGTGAATACGGCTCAAATGCCCCCCCCCCCCACCCCCCCGTTCACACACACACACAGATATTATATATTTTTGTGTCTTTGCTGGAAGGTTTATAAAATCAGCTTTGTGGTGGGTGTTGAGACATTTCTCCTTTTGTCTTTAGTTGCAGAACTCTCCTCGTCTTTTTTTTTTCAACACCAACACAGTACATTGCATTTATTTTTGTTTGCATCACAATCTATCATCATTTAAGTTGAGAAGAAGGTTTGCCACTTGGAGAAACAGTGATGCCATTTCAGATTCGCTCTATATAGTACTTTATAAACAAAAACAACAAAAAGCCAAACTGATTATTTCATTATCAAACCTGCACAAATACTCAACACCAGCTGATAGGAATTGATTTTGCTTCTAGAACCAAGGCAACAGTCAGTAAATGTCTGTCTCTGTGGTCTTTGTTGCTAGGTAGCAAATGAGGCCGCTGCTATATTGGTATTCGACTTTCAGTCTGAACTGCACCCTAAGAGACAGAAAAATTGATTGTGCATCTGTGGAAAACTCTTGTGAAGGATCAAGAGATGATCATTGTAGCGTTAGCAGTACAGCTTAAAGAAAATGCTGAAGATTTATTTTTCATTTATGACTTTGTCTCTGCTGCTTTCTCTTCAAGTGGTAAATGAAATAATCGTTCAATGCTTTAATTGTTGAAAAGAGGCCATTATAAAAAAAATGGTGAAATTAATGTCACCTTTTGTGTAAAAAGCTGGCCAATATCTTTGAAAAATGGAAAATTTTAAAGAGGCAATGTGTAGTTTTTACCGTTAATCTCTGGAAATATCCATCAACATGTTGTTGAAAATGAATGAGATGATGCTCAGTTGTTGAAAAATATTGGTGGCTTTGTAACATACAGGCCCTTCTCAAAAAAATTGGCATATTGTGATAAAAGTTCATAATTTTCTGTAATGTACTGATAAACATTAGACTTTCATATATATATTAGATTCATTACACACAACTGAAGCAGTTCAAGCCTTTTATTGTTTCTAATATTGATGATTTGGCATACAGCTCATGAAAACCCAAAAACCCTATCAAAAAATAGCATATTTCATCCGACCAATAAAAGAAAAGTGTTTTTAGTCCAAAAAAGTCAGCCTTCAAATAATTATGTTCAGTTATGCACTCAATACTTGGTCGGGAATCCTTTTGCAGAAATGACTGTTTCAATGCGGCGTGGCATGGAGGCAATCAGCCTGTGGCACTGCTGAGGTGTTATGGAGGCCCAGGATGCTTCGATAGCGGCCTTAAGCTCATCCAGAGTGTTGGGTCTTGCGTCTCAACTTTCTCTTCACAATATCTCACAGATTCTCTACGGGGTTCAGGTCAGGAGAGTTGGCAGGCCAATTGAGCACAGGAATACCATGGTCAGTAAACCATTTACCAGTGGTTTTGGCAGTGAGAGCAGGTGCCAGGTCGTGCTGAACAATGAAATCTTCATCTCCATAAAGCTTTTCAGCAGATGGAAGCATGAAATGCTCCAAAATCTCCTGATAGCTAGCTGCATTGACCCTGCCCTTGATAAAACACAGTGGACCAACACCAGCAGCTGGCATGGCACCCCAGACCATCACTGACTGTGGGTACTTGACACTGGACTTCAGGCATTTTGGCATTTCCCTCTGCCCAGTCTTCTCCCAGACTCTGGCACCTTGATTTCTGAATGACATGCAAAATTTGCTTTCATCTGAAAAAAGTACTTTGGACCACTGAGCAACAGTCCAGTGCTGCTTCTCTGTAGCCCAGGTCAGGCGCTTCTGCCGCTGTTTCTGGTTCAAAAGTGGCTTGACCTGGGGAATGCGGCACCTGTAGCCCATTTCCTTCACACACCTGTACACGGAGACTCTGGATGTTTCTACTCCAGACTCAGTCCACTGTTTCCACAGGTCCCCCAAGGTCTGGAATCGGTCCTTCTCCACAATCTTCCTCAGGGTCCGGTCACCTCTTCTCGTTGAGCAGCGTTTTCTGCCACACTTTTTCCTTCCCACAGACTTCCCACTGAGGTGCCTTGATACAGCACCCTGGGAACAGCCTATTCGTTCAGAAATTTCTTTCTGTGTCTTACCCTCTTGCTTGAGGGTGTCAATGATGACCTTCTGGACAGCAGTCAGGTCGGTAGTCTTACCCGTGATTGCGGTTTTGAGTAATGAACCAGGCTGGGAGTTTTTAAAAGCCTCAGGAATCTTTTGCAGGTGTTTAAATTTAATTAGTTGATTCAGATGATTAGGTTAATAGCTCGTTTAGAGAACCTTTTCATGATATGCTAATTTTTTTAGATAAGAATTTTGGGTTTTCATGAGCTGTATGCCACAATCATCAACATTAGAAACAATAAAAGGCTTGAACTACTTCAGTTGTGTGTAATGATTCTAATATATATGAAAGTCTAATGTTTATCCTTACTTTACAGAAATTAATGAACTTTATCACAATATGCTAATTTTTTGAGAAGGACCTGTATAACTATAAAAATCAGGTCTAGAATACATGGGAGTGTGTCTAAGGCCCAGTCTCAATACTCACACTGCGCCCAGCGGACTTCAGCAAAGCACACTTGGAGAAAGTGCACAGTAGGGTTCGAGTACACAGTACACAAGTGTGCAAATAATTGCAGAATTGAGACAGGGAGCATTGCATCATCGATCACAACCCATGCTGGGATGCTGGTCGCTGTGATACATTTTTTAAAAACTTTTATTAACAACTTTTAAACAAACAGCCAATCGGTTATTTGAAATAAATTTAATTTTATTGCTGCTTTGTCTAAAAGTCTTAGAGCATCAACTAATTGTCCTGAAATTAACAAATTTCTTGAGAAAATACATGTTTCAGAAAAAGAACTTGAGCCTTTTCTCCTGCAGCAATGACTTGTGGGTAATACCCTTGCCCTAGGTCCGCATCGCTGCAGATTAAGGGTGCAATGGGGGCGTGGTCAACCTCCGCACTTGAGAATCGGGACACCCTACGCACTCGCACCCCTGGCCGGGAACGTGTAGATGAAGGGAGCAAGGGTGCAAGTGCGAGTATTTAGATTGGGCCTAAGTCTCTGGGAGACGCCTTATTAGACTCCATTTTTGCTTCTACGGGGGCCTGTGAGGACAAAATGCATTTACTGATTTGTAACAATTGGTTACAAATTTTTCACCATCCATAAACGTTGTTTTACACGTTTACCTCTTCACTCATTGCAAGTGATGGAAGGGAGTCTGATAAGCTTGCCATTTTGCTGGAGGTTGTGCTCCCAGGGATTTTTGACCCTAATGGCCATCCATTGGCACGGTCTTACTCAACACAAAAATACAGCTTGCTTGCAATGATGTAGCAATGTACTGCTCCTTATCGCCAGAGAAAGTACACAAAGTCACTTTGAGTTAAATCTTTGGTGACTTAATTTCCCTCTGGTATTAATAAAGTATCTTTGAATTTGAAATGTACAATGATCATTTCTGATATTATAATTTCATAAATATGGGAGAAAAGAGCTAAGTAGAATTTCAGTTTTGTTGTGGAAATTGTTGAATCAGAAATTTGAGCAGAAAAGGCAAAAATTCTCAGATTTAAATCCTAAAGTTGCGTGAGGGTTGTGTGGATATTCTGTTATGTGTAGGTCATAAGTTTACAGCCCAAAGGAATTAAAACACAACCCAGAATGATGTATGATTGTGTCCATGACAGATCCTAGTGAGCTACACATAGCAAACCCTAATACCTAATGGTGAGACTGCCAACTCTCCACCTCAGAGTTAGAAAATCAACTGACTTGTTGTGCAGGTACACCTTTTTCATCGTGCTGTATCCGATGGGAGTGACCGGAGAACTGCTGACCATCTATGCAGCTCTGCCGTATGTGCAGAAGACAGGCCTGTACTCTGTCACGCTCCCCAACAAGTACAATTTCTCCTTCGACTACTATACCTTCCTCATCCTCGTCATGGTCTCCTACATTCCCCGTAAGTAAACACTTAGTTTTTATTCTCACAGCAGCTGTGAACCTGCAGAGTTGATAATAATAAATAATCCCTTTTGAGTGTTGCGGAGGTCTAAACGTGCCTTTGTGCCTCTCCTCAGTGTTTCCCCAGCTTTACTTCCACATGATACGACAGAGGAAGAAGGTGCTGGGCCACACAGAGGACTACAGCAAAATCGAGTGAGCTCAGCAGCGTTCGGAACAGTTCAAACCCAAGAAAATAAACCAAAACATCCCAAAAATTAACGAACAAATTGATGTTTTCAAGCTGACCTGGCAGACGATCTCGTTATGAAGCTGCGTTGTTGTTTACAGCTGTTGCGTGAGTTGTAAAGATGAGCTGGTGTCATGTTTGTTTATTTTCGTTTTTATTTATGAACAATTTATGATTTCTTTAGTCGAGTCAGAGTTTTCTGTTCTAAAGGCACGTTTTATTGACCCGGATGTGGTTGAGCTGCTCTGAGTTTGGACCATAGCTCCGTCACAGTCCATCTGAACGGATGCACTAATAGAGCTCTTATCACCACGGCACTACAGGGAGGATTAGAAGGGTTCTCATCCACCACCCCTTTGCAGGTTTTCTTTAGGCTACTGTAATATAGAAAGATTTATGTGCAGTCTAGCAGTGAAAGTAGTTGGTTTTTCGTCTACGTTGTGTTGGTACGAACATGTCATTTCTTTGGTTTGTGTGTTTTTATTCAAACATTTGACCACATTCCTCATTCAGCCCAATAAACCTTTTCCATTTCATGCTTGCATGCTTTTTTTTTGTTTGTCTCAGTAGTGGTTTGTTTCTTTTCCAGTGATGATCGTGGTTGTTTTTATTAGTTTGACTGTTCAGCTGGTTGAGAGGGAAGCATGTCCACCTGAGGGAGCAAACATTCCTCTTACACGATAGCATTTTAGCTCTGCAAAGGTGACATTTTATTAAACATACTTTGTTTCTGCTTTGACACGTTTTCTCCATGTTGCTTCTGCAAAAGAAGAACTTAAAGTTTAGCAAAAATACAGATAGCACAACCTGTCGTAGCAAGTATTTTCAAATGAAATACGCTTTGAAATGTCAGAATAAACTGTAGCCTGATTGTGTGTTCAGTGTTTAAGTACAAAAAGTACATTTGAGGGATGTTGCCATTGTAGGACAGCTTTTGCTGAAACTAGAGTAGCTCAGATCTTATAAAGTGGGTTGCTGTAAAATGGTTAATATCGTCGTCGTCTTCCTCCTCTTATCCGGGTCCGGGTCGCGGGGGCAGCACCCCAACTAGGGAGCTCCAGACCGTCCTCTCCCTGGCCACCTCCACCAGCTCCTCCGGCAGGACCCCAAGGTGTTCCCGGACCAGATTGGAGATGTAACCTCTCCAACGTGTCCTGGGTCGACCCGGGGTTCTCCTGCCGGCAGGACATGCCCGAAACACCTCCCCAGGGAGGTGTCTAGGAGGCATCCTGACCAGATGCCCAAACCACCTCAACTGGCTCCTTTCGATCCGGAGGAGCAGCGGTTCTACTCCAAGTCACTTCGGAATGTCCGAGCTCCTCACCCTATCTCTAAGACTGAGCCCGGCCACCCTACAGAGGAAACTCATTTCGGCCGCTTGTATCCGCGATCTCGTTCTTTCGGTCATTGCCCAATGCTCATGACCATAGGTGAGGATTGGGACGTAGATCGACCGGTAAATCGAGAGCCTGGCTTTCTGGCTCAGCTCCCTCTTCACCACGACAGATCAGCTCAGCGTCCGCATCACTGCAGACGCCGAACCAATCCGCCTGTCGATCTCCCGATCCCTCCTACCCTCACTCGTGAACAAGACCCCGAGATAATATCCGATTAGATTACTCTTTGAACAACCTTAGTTCGGGGAAATATAGAATAGCTCTGAAAGAGTCCCAGCTGGGTCACTTCCACACAGGATTTCTGCCATCTTTAATCATTTTTCATTTCAAAAGTTGTCAAAACAGTTCATGCCCAGTCTTAATTGGTATTGCGCAAATTCTGACAGAAATGTTATCTAATATCAAATTTTGCATTGTAAAAACGTGAAGTTTTCTGTGGTTGAGTTTGTTTGAAATAAATAAAGCCTCATCAAAAAGCGACTTTTTAGTGATAGAAATGATAAAACTATTTTTATCCTTTGCAATTGTTTACTTAAAATTTGTTGACTAAAATTTCACCTTCAAAAATTTTGATTACATGACACCAGTGCATTCGCTGGGCCCCGAGTAGTCCATTACGGGAAGGCGTTAGACCCTGAACTAGTCAACACACGTCATGTGATCAAAGGGACTTAATAGGATTGGTTAAAAGTCACTTGACTCGATCTACTACTGGTTGCTTTGACTTGCGTCGCCAGAATCTCACCACATTTGGTAGCTAATTTAGAAGGAGACTTTAAAGTAAGAAATACTTTTGTACATAGTTGCACAGGATAAACATTCGGTTTCATTAATCTGATGTCTTTTAGAGTGTTACCCTTTCTTTCCACTGCACATCAAACCATCGTGAAATGCGCTGCGCAGCAATCAGCCGCCGTATAGTGGATGAGTTCCGTTCCACCAGCAGCGATGCCATATTTTGGACGTGCCCCAGAAGTGACGGCACGCCATCGTTACGACTCGAGTCTATTTTTGACTCACTACACTTCCAAAACACGTCAAACTCCGCAGTTTAGATCGAGCCAGACAGGAAGTCGAACACAACCAGTGTAGAACATCCAGAAACTTTCAAAATAAAGGCCACATACGGTACGTCATTTCTTTTGAACTTCTGTGAGCGATGTAAACAAAACCAAAAATAACCCACAGACATTTTTTCATGAATGCATCTGTGTTGTTTATTATTGTGTGTGGACGTCTGAAATCAGTGTGGTGTTGCAATTCTCCTGTGATTTCGTGACATCACAGGATCAGCTGTGTGGAACGCTTTCACTCCCGTTTCGTGCCAGCATTGCTCCCGGTTGGGAACGAGCTTGCGGGTGGGATGCTGCTGTTACGTTATGTGACTGCTTTCACGGCTGGTGGAAAGCCGGGGTTATTGTAATGAGATTCTGTTTCTCATGAACTACTGTGAAACTTTGAGAATAACATTGGTCTAAGATGAAAGAAATCTGCTTTGGAGCTGGTCCTACTTACGCCTCATTTGCACCAAATATGGAACAGTTGCAAAGACCGAAAGTAATTTGGGCCAATCAGAGCGTTCACACTGGCTGCTGTGCAGAGGATCTCCAGATGTGGAGCTCCGGAAAGTAACATGAAGTTAAAGGAATTACATGATCCAGACAGGAAGTGAGACGTGGGTCAGCGAGGTGTGTCTGGTAAATTTTAAAACTAAACCTGTTTTGTGTTGTTTTCCCCAGCTTTGCTTTATTATTATTGACAGGAGTATCAGTTGACGGTGTACGATAGCTGATGCTTTTTTACAAAAAAATCTTTAAACGTGTTTTGTCACATTTCTAATATTTGGTCTCCTCGTTTGTGCAAATGTCCACAAACGTTCAGCACGAACAGCAGTCTGTGAATGAATCTGTCCAGAAGCCACACAGAAACTAAATCGCTTCTGTCCTCTGTGTAAGCGAGGTGTTAAACTAGCTGTTAGCGTGTCAGTCTCGTCAGAACTCATCTCTATTTATGAAAACTAACATTCTCGATACGGTTTCCAGGGAAACACACGTCAGATGATGTAAGTATGGCTACTCTGTGGTAAACTTAACTTCCTACACATGAGCAAAAACATTTTCAGCCTCAGTTAGTTTGAAATTGTTCATTCAGACTGAAGGTTTAGAGATTCCGTCTTAACACTCTCCTTTAGGAGGAACTTATCTGCAGCACAGCAGTTATCGATGCTTTTACAAAAAGAGCTTTCTGTTTTGATGGATCTGTGTGTGAATGAGACTAGTTCCAGTAAACACTGCCACTTGTGAGTGTGTGGATTCTCCACAGTGATCAGAAAGCTGACAGGTTTGTAGCAAAAATAAAGCATGTGTTTGTGAGCATTACGACCAAGGTTCTTGTGCAGAACGCTTTTTGACAAATGAATTTGTCCTTTGTGATGTAGACTCTGTAATATGGAAAAGACCCTTTAATGTGCTCCAAACTCAAATGCAGCTTTAGTTGGATGCTTCTTTTCCCTCCGATGGCTCAGAGCATGATTCGGGCTGTCTGATGGAAATGTCTTACACAGATTGTTTGAAAACTGCATGAAGACGACGCAGATGTAGCTGCCCGGAATGATGAATTTTGTTATAAGCTAAGTTATTTTTTAAAGCATGTTATTTTCCTCAAAAACCAGTTCTGCTGACATTTTGATAACAAATGCTCTGCAGGAAGACGGCAGACTTTGTAATAGGTTCTGATCACTGAATATATATTTACAATAAATCTCATGTATAGGAAGCATATTTGCTTTTGTTTTTGTTTGACTGTGGAGTGGATGATGGTGAAAACGGATGGTTTGGACCACAACTTCTGAGGAGGTCCCCCTCTGAGTCCATAGGGTTTAATACAGCCTCACCCCAGCCTTCGCAGCTGTAACATCTTCATCTCTGTGAAGGCTTTCCACAGGGGTTAAGGAAAACTGACCATTTCTCCAGATGTGCATTTGTGAGGTTAGACAAAGATGCTGGACTAAAACTTCTGCCTCAGCCTTCGCTCTAGTTCATCCTGATGGAAGATGCTCTGCTGAGTGGGGGCCACGCTTCAGTGCAGCACGTTCAAGTTCCTCCACAGCAGACTCCATGTTTTGTTGGCATGTCCCAATAAGGTCAGCTTCACGGTGTGTTGGAACACTAATGCCAACCTTTTAGTATTTTACACTGAACAGAGAATCCATAAAAGACGGAAAAGTGGGAGGTTGGATAATCAGGTATGCTGATAACTGTGTGAGATCTGCAGACAACAGGGACCTCTGGTGGACATAAAAGGTAATGAACAGATAAAACAGGAAGATTCATACCCCCTCACCTGTGACGTGCGAAGACACACTGAGATAAGACAATAAAATCAAATCATTTGAAACATTTGTAGATAAAACATGATACTTAGCAGCTTGTAGATCCAGAAAACCACTAAATATGTTTAGTATGAGGATGTGTAACAAACTATATAACCATGACCAGATGTGTGCAAATTAACATGTTCATGTGTGTAAAGATTAATTACATATCTGCATCAAAAATACAAATGTGTGTTTTAATAATGCACGACTTCAAAGCTGAAAACCTTCATAACAGTTTTTACAAACTACTCCACTAACTTTCATTTTGCCACCAGCTCAAAATTTCACGTTTTTTCCTACAGAAAGGTCACACTCCCACAGGAAGTGAACCATAAGAATAATAAATAAAAGAATCCATGTCTCTTGAGCTCATTCCTCTCATTTATCTGTTATTCCTCCTCATTCGTCAGCTTGTGAGTGTGCAACGGAGCAAAAACACCACAAGAGGACAAGTAGTCATGAGACTAGTGGACTAAATGAGTTGCACAACTAGGATTGAGATAAATTGTATCTGATTTATATCCGAGCTCCTGTTTTTTATTTGATGCTGAATAGAGGTTGCTGTTGTGTCCGTTAACAGTGTTCCACTCTTGATGGATTCCACAAAGGGCAAAGAGAATTCAGCTGGGGGGTGAGCCGGTCACAGCCAATGCATGAGGCTCGCTGTCACATGCTTCCTGTTTGTTATCACACAATGTGGGTAATTGAGCCATGCCCCCTCCAACATGTAAATATAACTATTAGCTACATCAGATGGTGGGATTATCTGTAAAATCAAAAATAACTGACTCTGGGACAGGTTCAGAAACACTGATTCTCTTGGACAACACAACCTAGGAAGTATGGAAGCACATAACTGACAAAATAAATTATCATAAATCAATTATGACTTAGCTACCACATACTAATGAGATGCTATTTAGCCTAAAACATTTTGATACCTCTTAACATTATAACATAGCTATGAATGTATTATGTAGATTGAAAAAATACAAAATAAACAAAAAACAAAGTGGTTCTCATATTTGTTCTAAGACTTCTGCCAATGACACCTTTTGGATCAGCAACTATTGGACCATCCGGTTGTTGGTCTCACTGAACCGCAACTCTTCCTCCTCTCATTACGCACTTGTGTATTTAGCAACAGAGCACCACCGGTGTGAGAGGTTCTCTGCTCAATAACATCAGAGAAGGCGAAACGGGAGCATCTCACACTCTGGACCCGGATAAGTAGAGTTTACTTAAAAAGTTCCAGTCAACCCGTTGCCTTACATTTTTTGAGTATAAAGCATTGCAGGAAAACAAGATCAGTGTACTTGAGTCCATAAGTTGAATGTACTAGTAACTGAGTTACAGTAACTAAAATACTTAGTGATTAGATGTGAAGTATTTGAAGAATTATCAGTGAAGTAATTAGATGCTTTTTTTACCGTCGGCTGACATGTTTCTGATGAAGGCAGAAGTACTGGCCGAAACATGTCAACCGAAGGTAAAGAAACATCTAATTACTTCACTATGTTAAATAAGAAAAAAGAAGATAATTATGAATCAACACACAGAATTAACATACAGAATAGTTTTACTCATTTATGTAAGTCAGCTTGTTTATTAAGTATTGCTGGTTTTCTAATTGGACCAGATTGTAGATTTTAACTGACACTGAAAGACGCCGGCTAACATGCTTCACATGGTTGCAGGCAGTCAGTGAGTGTTGAACATGAGGAACTGAGACCAGTGCCTCAAGTGTGAACCACCAATTTGTTATTAACAGTGGAAAGGCACAGTGGTTCCATTCCTTCAACCGCCCTCCTCACTTATGGTGCCACCATGACAACAAATAACTCCACCTTTGCAACACCGAACAAAGCAATAACTAAGAACAACACTACACAACTCTTTCCCCATAATAAACATGCACAAACACCCACATTAGAACTATAAATAACTACAAAGATGACCACTACTTCTGCACTTCTCTGTTCTGTCTCTAAAGAGTCAGAGCTCCTCAATGGCACCTGGTCAAAAATGTTTGGACCAGGGGTCTCATTTATCAAACATTGTGTAGAATCCTTACTAAAACTGTTCTTAAGCTCAGCAAAAAATATGTATTTATGCCAAGTAGGCTTGTGATCTATCAAACATGGAGTACGCACAGCTGCACGCAATCTCCGCTTTATAAATCACAAACTTCCTAGAAAGGTTCTCAGCTGTTTCTGAGTCACATCCCGCCCTCAACGTGCCCACTTTCTGCCATAAATGGTCAATGCAAAGTGCCTTGTGGATCTCATGCAAATACATAAGCCGGCTCGTTGCAGCGTTCCACCATTAACAATGGCGACCGCGGATCAAGGAAGCGCAGTTTCACTGAAGCAGAAATTGAGGTACTTGTGGGTGAGGTGGAGAAATGAAAGGAAGTGCTTTTGCAAAATAAATAAGAGAAAATCCACAGAGTGGCACAGCGTTGCTGAAGCCGTCAATGCTGAGTTCTTCAGAGAGATCTGTGGCGAATATGGTCCGATCGGGATTCAATTCCCAGACTCCCGAGTGAGAGTCACGTTAACCAGTCAGCCAAAGGGACATCCTCTTTGACCAAGTAGCCAGGACGCATCATCAATCGGGTCACAGTGACAGTACACACACCTTCACAGACGCATAACATTCTGTCTCAATCTGTCCCTTTGCTGATATTCTGCATTCCGTATTCTGCACTTCAGGCTGTGTGTGTGTTTGTGCATGCGCATGTGTGTGTTTGTGTGTGTGTACCGTATTTTCACGACCATAAGGCGCACCTAAAAGTCTTAAATTTTCTCCAAAATGTACGCCACGCCCTGTGGTGCAGTGCGCCTATTGTGTTGTTGTGAGACACGAACGTAGTAGAAGACAAGGGGCGTGGCGAGAACGTGTGGACGTGAGCGAAGACAGACCCCGAATAGTTCAAAAGGGCAGGTATGCGCGGTATGCTGAACATTGTTCTGACAACCCTGAGAATGGCACCTGCTAAGAGACACGCCTATGAAGCACAGTTTAAACTGCAAGCGATCAGCTACGCGGAGAAACACGGGAATAGAGTAGCAGCGAGAGAATTCAGCATTAATGAGTCCAAGGTTCGCAAGTGGAGGAAGTTGGAAAACGAACTCTGACAAGTAAAGAAGACGCAGCTGTGTTTCCACGGGCACAATGCCAGGTGGCCTGAGCTGGAAGACCGCCTCGAGCAATGGGTTAACGAGCAGAGGACAGCTGGGAGAAGCGTCTACCGTCACCATTCGTCTGAGAGCAGTAACGCTCGCACAAGAAATGAACATTGAACATTTTCAAGGAGGTCCGTCTTGGTGCTTTCGTTTTATGAAACGCCACCACCTTTCCATCCGGGCAAGGACTACGGTGGCCTATTAACAACACACATATGATTTTGTTCATGTGGAAAGTTGATGTGGTTAAATCCACCAACTACCGGTAAACACATTCTGAACTTCAACACAGCGCATCAGCGCATAAGAAGAGCAGGAGCCGTCAGTGCACGCAATGAGGAAGTGCACGTGCGCTCTAAACCAGGTCTGAACCAGGCCTGGACCAGTAAAGTGAAACATGCTTTTGGTTGTTTATAATTTTCACAATGTCTGGTTTGCACTGATATGTTCCGAGTCCCGAGCCCGCACAGATGTTTTACCGGTACGTTTTACCGTGCCCGCGCCCTAGCCCTATAACCCGGTGCGCCTTTTGTATGTGTTAAATACCAAAACTGAAGCTGCACCCTATGGTCGTGAAAATACGGTACTTGATCTATGTGTGCACAAAGCAGTACAAATGATAATGCTGGTGGAATTCATAATTTTATCCTTCTCAGCAGTGCCACTGCAGTTGCTCTTCATGTCCAAAATGTGCGTAAATCAGGTCTTTAGTCAACTTAAAGTTGCACACATTTTTCCTACACGTTTACTTTTATAAATCCCAAAGTTTGCGTGGAAAGTTGCTTACGCAGTTTAACGACCCCGTTTTGTGCATAAGCAAGCTTTATAAATGAGGCCCCAGGTTTTGGTGCATGCAACCAAGAAAACTTGATTATTTTAGGTAGCTTGAGCTCAAATATATAGGTACAATAAGCTGGGACATTAAAAAGTACAGTTTCCTTAAATTTATAAGTGGTATTAAAAAATGACACATTCGTAAGTAATATGAACTCAGTTTATAAATAGAGAGTAAAGACTGAACTTAAAATCTCAATTACAATAACAAAAGACATGAAACAGCTCAGCTAACTCAGGAATAACAAGTAATGCTAACAATCACATTTAAGTCATTGAGTTGAATCAAAATTTTAGTTGAATCAAAATTTGGGCTTACAGGTAAGATACTGAGGGAGAGGTTCCATGACCGTGTTTGCGTTCAAGCCCTAGCTTGTTCTGTAAATTCACTAGAGCAGCTTTAATGTGATGTTCCTTGGACTTATGGGAATGGACGTTGACATTTTTTGTTTATGTTTATGTATTTAGCAGACGCTTTTGTCCAAAGCGACTTACAAGTGATAATCGGCATGTTGCCCTTGAGGCTAACAACAACAATAACAACAACAACTTGACATCAATCATGGAGAGGATGGAACAAGGAGTGGACAGTAGAGAGGGGGTACGGGTGCAGGGAAGGTGCTAGTTTAGAAGATGCTATCTGCAGAGCAGGGTCTTCAGGAGTTTCTTGAAAATTGAAAAGGAAGCCGCTGTTCTGGTAGTGCTTGGTAGGTCATTCCACATTTGTGGAACGATGCATGAGAAGAGTCTGGATTGTCCTGAGCGTGGTGTAGGCACTGCTAGCCGACGATCCTGTGATGACCGAAGCGGCCGGGCCGAGACGTACGCCTTTGCAAGAGGATTCAGGTAGATGGGAGCCGTACCATCTTGGACTTTGTATGCTAGTGTTAGCAATTTGAATTTGATGCGTGCTGCTAGCGGTAGCCAGTGGAGCTCAATGAACAGAGGGGTGACGTGTGCTCTTTTTGGCTGATTGAAGACCAGATGCGCCGCTGCGTTCTGGACCATTTGAAGAGGTCTCACAGTACAGGCTGGAAGACCAGTTAGAAGGGCATTGCAGTAATCGAGGCGGGAGATGACAGTAGATTGCACCAGGAGCTGGGTGGCATGTTGTGTTAGGTATGGTCTGACCTTAGCAAAGGTTATCAGCAAAAATGAACCACGTAGCCAACAAGGACTCACCTTGTGCTCTCAACAAGTATTTTCAAGGCTTCCCAGGAAATTATACAATTTGTTGCACACAGTCTTACTGCTGTATAAAAGTAATAACTACTTAGTTTTCAAGCCAAAGAGGGTTTCCCAGACGTCATCACTTTTGCTCCGTATCAGTACTAATCTATAATGAAAATAGCTTTTAAATCTGTTTCAAAGTAAAATAATCTTTGTTGGCATGTATTATTAGTATTATTTTTAAATAAAAGAGCTGCTTGCGGATTCTGAGTTATACTTTTGATGTTAGGTGATGTTTTAACCCAAGTATTAACTGATATCCCAGATTTTGACCAACCCCAACTCATGAATCAGCAGTACAAATTCAACCAACTGGGTAAAATAACCCAACCTGTGTTGTTTTTAAGCAAGTGTCCTGCTAGACTTCCCCGACTTTAGTAGCTTCTTTTGAGTTGTTGAAATGGTAAACTTAATTAGAAAATGAGATTGTTTTGAATGGGTTATTAAAGGTGAACAAGAGGGTTTTGGCTTGCTTTTAGCACCACATCGTGCCCGTTCGTCTTTTTAACACCTTAATCTAACTAATGAAATGTCTCCCCAGCCTTCTTTGTGTCTACAGGAGCGATTTGTCACCAAATTAAACAAATCAGCTGTGTGTTATAATGATCTAACATACAGGTAACATGCTGGAAGCAGACTGCAGTGCCAGGTATGTCAGCTCAATCTTTTCTAAGTCCCAACAGAGCATCAAGTCTGAAGTTGCAAGTGAAATATTGTGGCCACAGGGCAATAGGGGTGGCCTTTCATTAACCCTGTAAAGGGTCATTTTAGCACATACTGGCTCAAGAAAATTATTTAGAATATGAAAAAGTTGCCACGTACCACTTTAAGACAGATGCATTCTTCAGTTGGCTTATATGGTTAGTATAAAGATTTATAAAATAATGTTAGATTAAAGGAAATTTAGTAGAGATATGCTGAAGTCACTAGCCGTTAGCTCATCAGTCCTAATATATAGGATTTCTATATTATAAATTATTTATGACTTTTATACAAAAACACTCTAGACCAAATACCATGCCTCTATTCCACAGCACCAGACATCAAATAGAAATATTTTGTATTTATTAGAGGGAAGAAAGAACAAAGTTGACAGATTTGTTTTTAAAAGAATCACATCAATGCCCATTTTACACTTAAAGATGTAAAGCTGCAGCGCAGATCAGATCGGAGAATCGCTTTTATTTCGAGAGGGATTTACGGTAATGTCCCTTGTAGACTCGGAGGTGTCAAACAGCAGCAGGAGAAAGATGCGTGGGCTTCCAGCTGTGCGCACAGACCCGCACATTCATCGAAAGCGTCTGGGGGTTCGCGCAGCCTTCCAGATGGAATGACCGGCCTGCGGTCCAATGAAAGCGCGTGGAAGAATGAGTCACCCGCTCCCTGCTCCAATAGCGGCGCGGCGGAAAGGCGGCCCACAGGAAGCACACTTGGTTGAATGGTCAGTAAAACAGCAATCAGCGGTAAATATGTTGTGATGCCACGCTCCAAACAGACACCGAGCTACCGGCGCGAGGCTACGGGACCCACGCAGACGCATCCCGAGGTCTGACCGCATCCTCAGGATCTCGCCTTGCGCAAAGTCCGGCTGCAAATCTGACCACAAGTCTCACTCCGGGGATCCGAGCGGTGATGGACAGCTGTTGGTCATTGATTCTGCGTTAAGGTTGACGATGAATCACTCGTGCGGTGGCGCGTGCTGTACCATTGACCAACAGGCTGTGTTTTGTGGCTGCCAGAGGAGGAGGAGGAGCGGCTGACTTCTCTCTGCGCTCCGACCAGCTGCACGAGTGTCGTGAGGATGCCTTTCACCCAAACGTGTGGCTCCCATCACCGTCAGAGCTGAGATGTGTGCGCGGTGCAGGTGCATCGAGACTTGACTGGACCGAGTCAGAACATGGGGACCAGTCGCTTGGATTTCGACGATCACCGCATAAGAACACAGGGGACCGTCCATGTCCCCCCTCGAACGGATCATCTGTAATTGATGGCGTTGTGATCCCTGGGGACAAGAATGCGTTTATTCCATCTCGATTGCGCGCTGCCGTGCAACATCACAATGGATGGAAGCTAATTGGGCCCAATGATGTAGAGCCAAATCCACCTGGATCCGTGCTCCTCCCTCTTGTGGCCAAACGCGCTCTCCTGTGACTTTTCATGTCCAATTGATTTATTTTTAATCCCAGATCTGTCTTTCCTTCAGCTTCAATTAATCCCAGAGTTAATGTTTGCTTCTGAATGTGGAGGCTGGTTAAACTGAAAGTGCCCCGGATGTTTGGATCAACTACGGAAAGTTGTGTCGGATATTTAAAGCGCCTTAATCTTGTGACGGAATAGAAACTTGAATTTGTTTCTCATTGGAGCAAAACATTTGCTGCGTGTTTATTTGTGGGCTCGCTGCCTCCTTTTCTTCACCATGTCCAGGTCAAATAGTGTCAGCCCACCCGTAGTCAGTGTGCCCGGGCTGAGGGGAGGGACCGAGCACAGATCAGCTTGGGGAGAGTCTGACTCTGTGGCCAACGGGTGCCCATACTCAGCCAGATCTCCGCGCAGGAAGCTCACCCGGACCAACAGCCGGTGGAGGGAGGAGGATGATACGGACCACCGGCCACCCGCGCGGGCCTCATCGACCGTCAGCAGGGTCAGCTTCAGGTCCAGGTCGGCTTGGCAGGACCATGGTGAGGAGAACCGAGACAACACGTCTGTTAAGCGTCCAGAGGACGAGGTGAGACCCAAATCGGTGGAACTGGGTCTGGAGGAGCGGAGAGGCAAGTCAAGGACCGACGAGGAGGAGGTCATGTCAGAAATGAACGTCTCCGTCGCGGCGTGCTGCCTCAGCGTCATGCACGTTTTTAAATCCAAGAAGTTCCAGTCGGAGAAGCTGGAGCGGCTGTACCAGCGCTACTTCTTCCGCCTGAACCAGAGCAGCTTGACCATGCTCATGGCGGTGCTCGTGCTGGTCTTCACGGTCATGCTGGGCTTTCACTGCTCCGGTGGAGCGGACGGACCGAGCGTAGCGTACGTAGTGGTGTTCTCCGTGGCCATCCTACTCACGCTCATCCTCATAGTGGTGTGCAATAGGAACGGCTTCCATCAGGACCACATGTGGGTTGTGTGCTACCTGGTGATTCTGGTGGTGCTGGTGATACAGGTGATCGGAGTCCTGTTGGTGCAGCCTAGAAGTGCCTCGGACGGGATCTGGTGGACGGTGTTCTTCATCCATGTCATTTACACGCTGCTGCCCGTCAGGATGCGCGCGGCGGTCATCACAGGAGTTATACTGTCCGCCATCCACGTGGCCATTTCTTGGATGCTAAACGGAATGGACAGCTTCCTCTGGAAACAGGTACGTGGAATTTTCTGCTTTATCTTTGAAAGCGGAATTTTACGCATTAATTGTGCGTAAAAACGCAGCAAAAAGCAGTTTCCTAAGTGTTCTGCAGAGTTTTATTCCGCCTGATTTACCCCACTTGTTTGCAGTTTGAAAATGTTCAAACTGAGTGAAAATTAACACCATCACAACGAACCAGCTACTATGTGTGGTGTTATTTATTTTCCCTATAGGGGGAACGATCTTTGTACCAGGGTGTGCGTCTGAAAAGCGCAGGGAAAAATTAAGATCGTTTATTTGAAAAAGAGTTAAGTTAGGGCAAATGGCCACATGTGATCTCTGCCAGACTTCATATTTTTTTCCAGCCTCAACATAAAAAACTAGAAAGTAGGAAACTGGCAAAAAGTATTTACGTTAAAAAACAAGACAAATGTTTTTCAGTAACACAAGAGTTTAAACCAACGGGTGTGTGTGATTTTATTTAAATTCAGATAAGTTTATGAACATTTACTATCTGTTTATAAATATCTCTGAACAACCTCAGCTTAGAGAAACAGTTTAGTTCTGCCCAGGCAGACAAGCTAGTTGGTTAATAACAGGGTCAGTCATCCTCGTCATCTTCCTCCGCTTATCCGGGTCCGGGTCGCGGGAGCAGCATCCCAACCAGGGAGCTCCAGACCGTCCTCTCCCCGGCCTTCTCCACCAGCTCCTCCGGCAGGACCCCAAGGCATTCCCGGATCAGATTGGAGATGTAACCTCTCCAACGTGTCCTGGGTTGACCCGGGGGCCTCCTGCTGGCAGGACATGCCTGAAACACCTCCCCAGGGAGGTGTCCAGGAGGCATCCTGACCAGATGCCCAAACCACCTCAACTGGCTCCTTTCGATCCGGAGGAGCAGCGGTTCTACTCCAAGTCCCTCCCGAATGTCCGAGCTCCTCACCCTATCTCTAAGGCTTAGCCCGGCCACCCTATGGGGTCAGTCATAAAATTGATTTCTGGGGTTAAAACAGCTCAAATATAATTTACTATTCTAAAGGATAGCTCATCAATTTCACATCACATACCGTCATAGACATGAATACGTAGACGCCCCACTGGGCGCTAGAGGGCATGATGATGATCGACTTTGTTGTTGTTTCATCTGACCTGCGGCCGCATGTCTTGGACACTCGGGTGAAGAGAGGGGTGGAGCTGTCAACTGAACACTACCTGGTGGTGACTTGGCTCAGATGGTGGGGGAGGATGCTGGTCAGACCAGGTAGGCCCAAACATATCGCGAGGGTCTGCTGGGAATGTCTGGCAGAGTCTTCTGTCAGAAGGAGCTTCAATTCCCACCTCCGACAGAACTTCCAAAATGTTCCAGGGGAGGCGGGGGACACTGAGTCTGAATGGACCCTGTTCTGTGCCTCCATTGTTGAGGCGGCCGACTGGAGCTGTGGTCACAGGATCGTCGGTGCCTGTCGTGGTGGCAACCCACTGGTGGACACCAGCGGTTAGGGATGCTGTCAAGCTGAAGAAAGAGTCCTATCAGGTCTTTTGGCCTGTGGGACTCCAGAGGCAGCTGATGGGTCCAAGTGGAATGCAGCTCTGGTGGTCGCCAAGGCAAAAACCCGGGCATGGGAGGAGTTTGGTGAGACCATGGAGCAAGACTTCGGTACGGCTTCGAGGAGATTCTGGTCCACCATCCGGCACCTCAGGGGAGTAAAGCAATGCGCTACCAACACTATCTATAGTGGAGACGGTGTGCTGCTGACCTCTCCTCAGGACGTTGTGGATCGGTGGGCAGAATACTTTGAAGACCTCCTCAATCCCACCGACATTGGCATTGGACCATGCCCTACTGTGACTGTTTGCTCATCGACTCGGACTTGGCTGAATTATTGAATATTTTAAATTCTCCAAGTTGAGGCTGTTCAATGAGCTGTTTATAATAGATCAGATATTAATGATAACCCCTAAATGCTGTCATCCTTAGGGGGAAAATAAGGGAGCAGCAGTGCATCAGAGCACTGCCGCTCAAGTAATCGTCCATTTAGCTTCACAAAATAAAAGTGTTGTTCATTTTGAACCTGAAGGTGATCTAACCTGGAAAGCTGTTCTTTTTTTATCACCAACAAGAGGAGATTAAAACACATACCACAAATCTACAAGGAGAAATAAAACATAAAAATTATTTTTCATTTTTCATTTCAATGGTCACCCACCATCATGTCCCTAATTTGGTAAATAGCTTATTGGTTTTATTCGTTGTTACCTTCTGACAAGTTAGAGATGGAGAGTTCATCCTCTCATGTGTGAAGTGTGGTTGCTATGGAGACAGAGGTGCTGGCAACAGGATGTTTAGCTCAGTTCAAATGAGTCCAACTGCCAGATTTCACCCTGCGTAACCAAGATTAAGATGATCAGAATTATTCTGATGACAGGTGCAGGGCTGCAATCTGAGAGCCTTTTCAGAGGAACCAATTTCCCTTTTTTTAAATTAAAATGTTTAATAATATTTAATTTCTGATTTTATTAGAGATGAAAATTGTTCACACTGAATGTATTTTCTTAACACAAAATAAAAAAGCGATGCAGTTGGATTGTTTATTGTTTCATTCCTGTAACAAACAATCTCTAATCATAATTTTTCCTATTACAGCAGAATCCAGAGCTAAAATAAATTCCCTCTGATTGGATCTACTCGGGCTTGATCTTTAATTTGTAATAATAATAACTGCATTCCCAGTTCAGTGCCTTGCTCTGACTTGCGGGAATGACTGAGTGATATTTTTACTCTAGGATATTATTATCGTAACTCTTTTCTGTCTGATCCAAACTCAACACTGTCCCTCCTCTTCTCCAGCAGCAGATTAGATGAAGAGCTGTTGATAAAAGAGAAAAACACACAGATATGCTGCTGATTAAATTCCTGATACAAAGCATTTTGTGCGTAGGAAAGTCTGATTATGGGAGTGTGTTTGACTTCAGCTGGACTGGTAATGAGCTCCGTTTAGATACTTTTGGAGGTTATTTTTTATTGTGCTGCTGAGCCTCCGCGTCTCTCATAACCAAAAGCCTCTGGTGGTGTTTTTACAAAGCTGACATTGTATTTAAAGCATTTTTTCAAGGCTGATGGATTCAGTTTGTAATGATGGTGCTTGTACAGATTAGTGAAATTTTCCACAATTATTTAAAGGTACACTTAATGAAAAGGTCCACTGGGTTCTACAGCTCAGTGTTATTAACCTCAGTCAGATTTCTGTTGTGTGTTTGTGTGTTTTTAATTGGCCGGTTATTTTACCTACCCGGGGTTTTGCTGTTGACCCAGTTTTGTTGTTTTTATAAGGCCCAGTAGAACCCATAAACATGCTTTAATGGCACAGCTCTCACTTTTATAAAGGTGCCAGAATAAAAACCAGGATGGTTATAGATTATTAGTGTTTTGGGTCTGAGAACCTCTCTGAGGGATGCAAAGGAATCTCCTAATGCAGCAATCCATAGTCCAAGACTGAGCAGCTACCGTGCAGAAGGTGCTGTGTTTTAGAAAAAAACCATTCAAAGGCTGATAAATGCATGAAAGTTTTCAGTTTTGATTTAAAGGGGAACTAGGCAGCTTTGGCTTGCTTTCAACACCCGCTAGTGTCCGTTTGCAGAACTGAAACCAAAATCTATCTTGTCGCTGTGCATTTGTCTTTTTAACACCTTAATCTATCATCTGATATGCCCCCAGCCTTCCTTAGTGTCTACAGGAGTGATTTGTCACTAGATTAAACAAATCAGCTGTGTTCATGATCTAAAACAGGCAGGAAATGTGCTGGAAGCAGACTGCAGATCGGACTGGCAACTGTAAAGCTGCAAGTGGAATATTCTGGCCACGGGGCGTTAGGAGCTGGGTGGCATTTCATTAACCCTGTAAAGGGTTATTTTAGCACATAGTGGCTCATGAAAATGATTAAAAAATACAGAAAAGTGGTGAAGCATCCCTTTAAAAGTTACTAGAGTTTGGGCTCATGTGAGGTCACGAGGAAGCTGATTCCATCTGCGTGCAGCATTGTCGCTAAAAGCAGCTTCACCCTGCTTGGTTCTGACCATAGACGTGTCTATGGTCAGAACCAAAGTTCTACAGGCTGACTTCTTGCTAAAGGTCTCAGAGCCCTACTGGGTGTGTATACCAGAAGGAGATCCAACAAGTATTTTGGCCCCATGCCATTGAGTGATTTATAGACTAGCAGTAGGACTTAGAAATTGATTCTGTAGTTTAAAGAGACATTGTGTAGTTTTTACTGTTAAGCTCTGTAAATATCTATTGAAATGTTGTTGAAAATTAATTAAATGATGCCCAGATGTTCAAAAATATCGGCGGCTTTGTAACATATGACCGTAAAATTCAGATGTAAAATACATGGGAGCGGGTGTAGGTCTCGAAAAGGAGTCTGGTGTTCTTGTTATTTTGCTGGAGGTTTCGCTCCCAGGGATTTTTGACCCTAATGGCCATCGGTTGGTAAGGTCTTACTTGAACACAAAAATACTGCTTGTTTGCAATTATTTAGGTGTGTACTGCCCCTATAGCCAGGGAAAATACACATAATTTCTTTAACGGTAATCAGTGCAGAAATCTAAGAACAGGAGTGATGTGCTCGACTTTCTTGGTTCTTGTTAGGACTAGCAGCAGCATTCTGATTTAGCTGCAGTTGCTTCGCAGCTTTTTTGGGAAGACCAGACCAAAGACCATTGCAATAGTCCAGCCTGCTGAAGATGAAGGGTTGATGATCAAATTGAGAACAAACTGAGATATATTTAAGACACGTTTTCACTAAATTGCAACCACATAAATCTTAAATAGCTTTTTACATTTTTTTTACAACTTTTCAGATTTGTCCAGATTATATTATGATTCTAGATGTTTTCAACTGTTTATGAGATTAGGCTCCTACAATTCCATCTAACCATGTTCTGAACACACAACAGTTGTCTTTCCTGAATCATCAATATGTTTGTGACAAAACGTCCCCACACACCAGTCTTTCCGCTGT